AGCATTGCTCAGATCGATCACTGCAAGCTTCATGAACTGATGTCACTTTTTGATTTTGGTCACCTTAGTAGTATGGACTAGGTTTTAAAAAATTAATTGTTTAATTTCATTGAAAGTTTCATCTGGTCCAGTTGATTTTGCCATGAACAAAGCAATCAAGCATTAACACAACATGATTTATTCTGTAAAATTAATTTGGTTGGCAAAAACCTCAGATTTTTGAAAATTTTGATGTTAATATAGCGAAAATATATTTTACAAGTATATGCTCAAATTAATGAAAAATTTTAATGTTTCAAGTTCAAAACTATTTTGTTCATATATTAAGAATTATGCTATAGAATTCAAAAGATAATTATTATCACCTTTTGACATGAATACGAGATTATTATCGTTATTTCAAAATAATTTTCATTTACAATAGATAACTGTGGACATATAAAATTCAACTCTCAAAAAATTGTCAAAATAATTACACAAAAAGAATTTCACGAAACAGTCATTCAATGCACTCTAGTTTTTAATGTTTATCTAATATAGGGATCAGCAGACACAACATAGATTTTTCGAATTCAACTGATAGAATTTCTGTAGTACGCCCATGTTCCTGTGCCTGTTCTAAAACTACTAAATAAATATTGATGACAATCAACACCATGTGATCAGCCTTCAATTGTTATTTTTACATTGACTGAGATATCAGTATGCTGTAAACAGTCAACAGAGGAAGCAAACAAAACTCGGTATCTCGCAAATAAGTTAAAGTTTCATCTACGTCTAATTAATAAATGTTAACAGAAAAAACCTGAAATAATGATGGCTATAAACTGAAATGGACACACACAATATGTCAATGTATTATTAAATTGCATAAATCTAAACTACTGAAACCCTAACAAATCGAAGGAAAGAAGTGTATATATCTCAATCAATTGTGATCGATTATAAAATGCATTACTACTAGTGTTTCTGCCATGATAAATAATTTAATATAATGACTATATATCTGGACGAACATGTTAGCTTAACAGTCCGTAATTTCGTAGACCACGTACACCGAAAAGACCGAATAAAGAATGCAACAAAATTTTTAATGTTCTACAGTGAATTAAGGAAAACAAAATATTTGAAATCATCAATCAGTCATTGATAGACCACCATTAGAAACCTGGAAGCACTGGACTAGGGTTTTGTCCTGGTATGGGACTCATAAGCAGTGCGCATCCACGACTCCCGCACCTCTCAGGTATTATGCGCGAACGCCTAACCCATACCAGGATGAAACGGCCGTCCAGTGCTTCCAGGTTTCTAATGGTGGTCTAACAATGATTGATTGATGATTTCAAATGTGTGAAAACACAAACCTCCAAAACTCTGCCCCAAATATTCAGTGTTAAGAGAAATGAATAGAATTTTTCAAAGTGTCAAAAAGTTTTTCTTTAGCCTTTAAAATAATTGCTGTTTCGTTTATTTTCATTTCTTCTTAAAAATTCATCTCATGATCTAATACATTAACATTAACTTGTTTCTGTCAACTTAAGTTGTTGTATGTAGATATATATATTAATCTAAGAGGCAAAAAAAACTAATTATCACTAATTAGATTTATTTTAATTTTTTTAGCAAAGAGAAAAAAACTATACCAATCCATTTCTATTTTATAATTAAAATTTATCTGTTGTTTCGTTTTTTTGTTGTTGAGGTCAACTTGTCTTCATTTTGACGTAAAGCTTAATTGAAGATTAAATTAAATTGTAGGTTAGGGTTAAGTGATTAACCAATCATTTTCAACGTATTAGCCATTTTTTTTTCAATTGTTAGTCAAGTTTCATTTCAGTTTATTTATCAAGTATTAAAAATATTTGACGAACATGTGAACTTATTGTGAAATTTTTTTTAAAGAAAAACAATAATTTCGTTGTCATATCGTTGATGTGTTTAAGTAATGTAAGATAATTTAAAAAAAAACTGTGATGACTTTTAGTTTCAAGTGAACTCGTATAGCATAAAGAATAATGTGTACAGTGTCCGTTTTTGGGATAATTCAGGATAGTTCATATCTAGATATATGATTAGAATATGTGCATACCTAGAGCACCTCCTTTTCAATTTCAATAATTTTCCACTGTTTTCATGATTTGATTATCTAAGAAGATTTATCTAATGCAAGATCTAATTATCAAAAAAATACTTGCAAACAGGAATCTAGTGGTTTTTGATTATAAATTATTTGTTTCGAAATATTATCTCTAGTCTTTAATGAATAGATTTTGCATCTTTTTCTAGTCGTAAGGTTTCAACACTTAATTTGTATCGGTGACAAGGACAGTGAAATCCAAATCCTAACCAACTCGTTGACAACTCTCAACCATTCATGAATAATACAAATAATACTCTGTTAAACGAAATAGTAATTCTAAAACTGCTTTATTCGAAAGCCGGATGAATTGGATTCCATAGGTTATAGTTTCTGAATAGAACGTCAAGAATTTCAGGCGTCAGATGTATGTTAACAATATTAGTGTGGCATCGCTAATCAACCAACGCTAAAAATGTTAGTTATCCGACTGAAAATCAGTAGTGTAAACGTTAACATCATGTCAAGAACCTTGAAGTTTATAAGAGTTCAATCCTTTTTAAGTTTATGGATTCATATTTCAAGTGAGTTTTATACTTGAACGAAATGGCTACTGGGAGTTTGTCATATTTATCCAGCTAAATTCACTTACCATTATACAAACTACAAAACTCTACAGTCGATAGAAAGCTTTTATGCTTTTCCTTTCAGAAAACAAAAAATATGCTCGCATTCTATTTTTTTTTTAATGACGTAAATTGCTTTTATTCCTAAAACTAACTACTGACTAGTTTAATGCATTTTAATTTATCTGTAACATGTAAACTATCATTGATTGTCCAATGAAAAGTTAAGCTTTCTTTATAATAATTTTTCTTTTTTTTTTATTTTTTCCTTCCAACCATTTCTATCAAATTATTAGTAATTTTTTTTTCTTTTGCTTCACTAAATACAATCAATTATGCTTTACTATACTGAGTTATATGCATTTACTTTTCTGTATTGAAAAAAAAAGAATATTATTATTGAGCTTTGTTCAAACAGTTATATGAATATTTTGTTTATGATTTAGAATTATTAATTAAGCAGAAATGTAAGGGAGAAAAATGTTAATTTTCTTTTCTAAATGACCTCAAATAGGGGAAACTTTAATAAAGCTAGAAACATTATGTAACAAAGTACATACACTATATGAGATCAAATCCAGGGTTTTCAAGTATATAAGTTAAAAATATAACAGTATCCAATGAAATATCAAAGTGTTTTTTAATCATGGAGTAACTGATGGTGAGCCCTGAAATTGGCCAAGTTCTTTTGGTATATGCATATCTTAAGCGGATCGCCTTGATAAATTCCGTCTAGTCATTAGCTCTAAAGTCTTTTTTTATCATGAGTTGGTTGTTGAAAATAAAAGGTCTCAGATTAGAGTCTGAGTGTGAAAATCAACACGAGATATAGGTACATCCAAATGACCAGTCCTAAAAACAAGGAATTACATATTCTAGATCGCAATGTTAAGCATTGCCAAGCCTTACTTGCATATTTACAATCGAAACCTATTCACAATACAATCTTGCCAATATTGATAGTCAGCAGTAGCACACCCACTGGAAATTCAGACATACAATGGGATTGAAACAATTGTCAGCATGAAAAATTATTAACGATAAGTTAAAAAGATTAGTTAGGGTACTCTACTGAAATATCTGGAACAAGACTGAAATAACTATTCACTTGTTCCCCTGTGATTTTCATTTATTCTTTGACTGAAGTAATAAGCAGTGATAGGTATTGACTTTAAATAACCGGTTTAAAATCAAAGAATCCTACTATCTGTAATTACTTCCTTAGTGTTGAATGGTTTAGTATTTAAATTGAAAAAATGTATTAAAATTTATCTTGAGATGCAGGTAAATCTGACGAATTCTAAAAAGGACTGATAAATGTGCTTAGTAAACAGTCGATCCGATTTTCTGGCCACAACTCTAAATTGAATCTACACAGTAACTTGAACACAAGTGTATGTGCAACAGAGATTGGTAATAAGAGTTTATTTGAGATTCCCAAAATAAATCAGATAAACATTTCGTAACACAACACTTTTTATATCATTCATTTATGGATAAGTTATCGATCAGATTTGTAGAAATTTAACCGAGTTTTTTAAAAAAAATAATTCAAAAACTTACTGTGTTAATATATATTCCCTATATTATATAAATAAACATCTATAATCTTTCCTAAGATATGAATACATGTCACATACGATCAGAAAGAAAATCCGTCATATTAAAGACAAAAAGCATGACCTGAATTCCACAATGATCCACAATCTTACCACTACATTTGTTACACATACTTAAAACTATTACGGGTTCACCTTAGTCGAACAATGAGAACAAACTAATTAACCAGAGTCCAGGTAGGCTACTATGATCCCTTGACCCAAATGTACTAACAAGAAGTCTTGATATGGCGTAGAAAGTGTATTCTACAAACAACCAGCCAGCAAACAATGAATCCAAGCACACAAATCGCGTTTATTTATGCACCATAGAGACGTCCTTGGGACAGTCACAAAATAGCACACTAAAGTAACACAGTAACCAATCACAGCCAAGGATTCTGCTGGTGGGAAATGTGATCTCAAGGTCGACTGATCAGCCAATGAACAAAATATGAAATAAAGACATTTATTAAGCGAGCTCTGGAGATCTAACATCCCCAAACAGTTACTTATGATTCAATGAAAATATCAAGATAATCTACTCGTAATGAGCATGTACGAAAGAGACTTACCAATATCAATCTTTAACAATAACAACAAGCCAATACAACATTGTACAAATATCATACTTATAACAATTGCTCTCAATTTATTAAAATATTTTTTTTTTAAAAATATAAAATAATTTCAACTTACCAATTTATAAACTGGACGTAATTCAGTAAATTCCCATAACATAAATAATAATTGATGAATTAATTTAATAATAATTTGAATAGTTTTATTCTCTTCATTCATTAATTGATCGGTAGAAGTATAATTAAATTTTATTAAATGATTATTATTATTATTGCATAGTTTTAATAATTCTTGACATTTTTCAACTCCTCCTAATGTAACAAAACGTCTGTAGAAAATTTTCAATAAATAAGTCAATAAATTTGAAAAAATAAATAAAGGAAATAACAAGTGAATGAATGGCAAATATAAATTATGTGAATAAATTATTATTATTTTTCAATTAATTTGTGTTTATTGGAGCGGTGTGATGGGGGGGGGCGGAGAGAGCGAGGGGTTGGAATTAAGGAAAAAAAAATAAAATTAATGAAGACTCTATATGATAGCCAATGTCGGAAATGAAATAGTCGATTCATGAAATAATCAATTTTCTTTTCCGTATCAATTACAGAATGAGCAAGATTTTTTTTAAAAAAATAAATGCGCATGTTTCAAGCAATTATCCAGCCCATAATATCAAAGACAATGTTTTTTTTCTATGTCTCGATTTTTCCAACTAACTAATATTTATTTGTAGCATTGATTAGCAATGAATTTCAGTGTTATTTTATGCTTTGTACATTAGATAATATTGTTAAGTATTCATTAAATGATAACTTCATAACAGATAAAAAGCTATGAAAATATTGATCTGATAATGAAACTATATGGTAGACATGAAGGTATTGTGAGCAGCATCTAAGCATCAGAGTTATTAGTTAAATTAAATGGTTTGTTTGGATAAATAGTTTAGCTTCTGGTTATTGTGAAATAGAATATTAGTTAGACTATATTTTTATAACAACTAACAGAATAAAATTATTTAGTTTTTAGATACATTACTTATTATCTTAGACAAAATATCAGCTTGAATTATTTTGTAATCAAACTGCAATAGTGAGTTGGTCAGTTGCATGTAAAGTAGAACCTGGATTGCTTCAGTTTATCAAACGGAGATAAGATTATCAAAACAAGTTTCAGAGAAGTAGAAGTAGTCATAAAAAAAAGTGTACAAGGATTTCAGGACTCAAAATCTGCGGGGGGGGGGAATGATTTTGAATCAGATAACTCGAAGTCTCTAACAATTGATTACAATAATCATGTTGACCTCAAACAAGTAGTTGGCATCTCTCTATATTGGCTCATTCAAATGATCATCACTAAGTTACATACAGTTGACTAGTTATATATTGGATAAAATGCTCTTCTTGAAGTCTACAACTGGTCAGTATCCAAAATTAATTAAACCTTATGACGAAATGATAAAACATGGAGAATCCATTCAACATGAACATAGATCAACTAAAACTAATTAATTGAACTCTTAAATATCTACAACAATGAAAAATACACTTCATTACAAATATAACCAAGGTACTGAATACTCCACTGGTTTGTTTTATGCTTTAAAACAAACTTTATCTAATGAAGTTTTCAGTGGTAATCTAAAATTCGTTACCACTTACATAATATATGTAAATTACAGCTTTTGTTATATAGAATTATGAATAAGATTTTTTTTTATTTTAATCAAAAATAAAGCTTAATAAAATCATCAACTTACCTAGCATTCTCCAATTTTTTATTTATTATCACACAACATAAACTCAACAGACCGGTGGTACATTGTTTTTGCATATTAACCAACTCATCATCAACATCATCATGTTCATAGTGTACCACCGAATCATGATTTGTTAAACACATTGATTTATTCACCAATGAATTTGATGTGTACATTGGTAATTGCCATTCAGAATTACAATTAGAATGATTATGATTATTATTATTATTATTAATATGATTATTATTGTAATGATGATGCATGGTATTAATGAATTTGTTCATTTGTGTTTGTTTACAATGATTCGAGTGTAGATTGAATACAATACCACATGAATGTTGATCTAATGCATGTATAATACGATTTAATGCATATTTGCCAATTAGATAACAACTAGTTGAATCCAATGCAGAATTACGTAAAGCATTAGCTGCTGTAGCAACAACATTATGCATTGGATTAGTTAATAATTCAACAAGTAATGGTAGTCCATGATTTAAACGAATCTAAAAAGTATTTAGAATAAGAAAAATTAATTTCATGCATAACATGTCATGTGCTAATAAATTTATTATCATGATAATTTAAATAATCATTTAAACATATTACTCAATACTGTGTTGAACTGCACCCAAGATATTTCTCCCAAACTACTCTGATTGATATCCAGTTCTCACGTGTATGGTCTGTCTATATAATTATTAAAAATGTTGATGAGTATAAAAGATTTTAAAAAGTAGATATTAGTACTATAAGAGAAAATTATAAATCATCCCTTGGGATTCCATAATCAATTTCTCAAAATACATAAAGTTTTTCATAGATAATACATCACTTACATTTCATCAGTATTTAAGATTATAAAACAAAAAACATTTTTGATCTTAAGTTATCCAGTGTAATTTCCAATATCATATTGATCTAAGGGTAAACAAAAGAACGCTAATTGATTATTTCTTAAGGAATTATTCAACCATTTATAGCTACTGAAAATACATGGTGAAATTATGTCCTAAATAATCATAGGCTGCATATGAAAGTGTAATATTGTATAGAGTAAATGTTTTGTAATAATCTGTTGTATTTAAGATTAGCTATTACTTTTGCAACACTCTCTTGCATAAACTATAAAAGTGATCAACAAAAAATTCATGAATGTCATAAATTTTTTCATTGACTTATCATTTTATGGAAACCATGAAGCCACCATTAGAAACCTGGAAGCACTGGACGGCCATTTCGTCCTGGTATGCGACTCATCAGCAGTGCGCATCCTGCACCCCGCAGGAATCGTACCCAGGACCTGCGGTATTGTGCGCGAATGCCTAACCATCGGACCACTGAGCCGGTATCTGACGGTGTTAATGTCCAAATTGATCAATTCACGGAGTTGCGCAACCTCATACACAGTCTTCGGTAGTTACTGTCTACACCCGAACAGGTTGAACTTCACTGGTCACGTCTTCCCACTAGAACTCGGAGAAGAATCCTCGCGGATGTAGTCACTAGTGAGCACAGGTAATTTGTATTAAGGGGTTGTGAAGATTGTTAAGTTTTTTTGAAACCATGAATCGATTAATGTTAGACCAGTGCTTCCGGGTTTCTATTGGTGGTCTAACATTGATCGATCCGTGGTTTCAAAAAAACTTAACAATCTTCACAACCCTGTAATACAAATGACTTATCATTGTTTGGTAAATACAATTGCACAAATGCAATTAACAGTTTAATTTAATTTGTAAGTCACATGCACTATATTTTTGGCTCTTATCAACTGATTGAAAATTCTAGTACTAATGAATAACTAGTTAAATAAAAACCGAATTCCAGTGTTTTCTGTTAAATATCTCCATCTGACTAATTAGTTGGTTACAGTGATTACCACAGAAAAATATCAAGCAATGCAACACATTTAGACTTGTGTAACATTGAAACAACTATGGTGTAAATTAACTAGTTACAGCCTCTATTTTTTTCAAATCATCTCTTGATGTAGTACTTTTTAAATCTTTTAATGTAAAAACTCATACAAAAAGTTGTGTACCTAAACATGTTTAAGACATTTTCCATAACTCTCAAAAAGCAATTTTTATCCATTATCAGAAGAAGAACAGTAAAATAGCCGCAGTCGTTTTGATGTCTGTCTAACTTCAACCTTTTAAATTATGATCAATAGATTATTTTTCTTAACATGACTGCATACATTTTCTCTTCATTTATCATTCATTTGATCTATTCAAGAGTTTGTTCAAACACTTGCCTTTTATATTGATTTATTTCATTCATTGTTTTATTGCTGAAACATGAAAATTTACATTTCTAGACCATAATTATAATAAATTCACTTTTTTTTCATACAATCATATACTAATTTATTTGAATAATACAAAATTAACGATATAACATTATTATTATTTTCTACAAGTTGTGTTCAAATTTTTAAAAAATGTATTCAAGGAGGATCAATGAATGAATGTTTTAGCAATAAAAACAAAGGCATTTTGGCGATGATTCACATTTCATCAATTGATATCACTTAAAAAAAAACTAGTATTGAATAGATGGTTTAATCTAATATTTTTAAACTTCTTAGGTTTACGTATTGATAGTTTGACAGATTGGATTAAACCCAAAAACATAGAAACTTTATAATCAGTACATTATCAGTGAATAACCACCAAAAGGCGATAATTTTATACTTGAAAACTTTCACAAAAGGTACTTCATTCGAATTCCAGTGTGAACATCAACACTGTGATTCAGTTACATCTCGCTGATAAGTTCTAAACAGAATGAAACATGTGGCTCATAATCCATCTATAGTTTCTATAACATTGCAATGAGTTTATTTATTATCGATTAACATTTTATTAAAATGATTATTATCAACGGAATAATAATAATAACAAGAAAATAATCAATGATTCATTTAAAACTAGGTTAAATATCAATGTACTTGTTAAATTAATGTTCATCATAATTTAAGTAATTCCTGTGATTATCATTTCAATTGAAAATATTCATTGCTTATTGAAATAAGGTCAACAAAAACCAAATTACGAACAAGAGGAAATTAAATAATTATCATTTTTATATAATTTTTTTGTTTGTTAAAAAAATAGTTATATGATTTGAATGAATGTTAAATTTTTCGGAATTTCTGTGGTGTGTCAAATTTTTAAAATAGTAAATAAATGAAATAAACAATTTCACAGAAATTTTAATAATGCTCATTTCCGTGGAATTTAATAATTATTATTATTATTACTGAGATTAGGTTTTAATTTATGATTCTGAATATTTCCATAATAGTTGATTTCATTGGAAAAATACCAAATTTATATTTCGTCTCATTTGTGTATGTAATGAATTCGATGACATAGTGGATAATCTCTGAAGTTATATTATGTGAAAATATTAGAAAAAATTTCAAATATACTTGAAAACCTTTATACCTATAAAAAATATTTTTTCGAAGTCTAGTAGCCACGAAGATGTGAACTGAGTAAATGGTACCAAATAAAATAGAAGTTTGCAAAATTTTGTTGTATGTATTCCTACATCATTAAGAGAAATTAAGTCTAGATATGGATCCAAACGAGTAGTAATATCGATCACTTTTTGTCGATCCAGTGATTAAAGAAAGTTACAACTACATGAATGAAGTAAACTACATATAATTGAAAGTACACCAATGTAGATAGGAGTAACAAATTCCATGAATTTATTAACAAAAACATATAGTGCAAATGAAGTACAGTTCAGAGACATGTGAAGTTGGAGACGTGAAAATAATTTTACTTGTTGAGTGATTCGGACAGCACATTGAAGTCAATGGCATCCTTTGGAAACTTGAAACAATTATAATTAGAACGGCATTAGTTCAAATTTACAAATGTAGCTAGATTGCCAACATAACGTTTTTTAGATATTGAAACCTCATAGTTCTACCTGAACAATCTTTGTGTAAATCATTTAACAAGGATTCATGGATTCTGGGCACGCAACAGTTATGGTACAACTTTAGGCCTAATGGGTCTCGAAAATAGTCTATCCTTTCAATCAGTGATCGATATTTAAAGGTTAACAGTTCATTAACTGTCACCTGATCAAAATTTTTCCTTTTCTTATCTCCAGATTCCACTGATATTCTTGGTTTAACAATACTGTGACCCTTAATGTCTTTATAATTGAGGATCCCAAACTCAGTCAAACCATAAGTCCGAAATGAAGAATTTTGGAAGTACATTTGAAAGATAGTCATAATGTCGAGAAATATAGAATCTAAACTGACTAGCTGTTTCAAAGGAAGCATAGCATGGCCTATAGAATCATGATTTGGTGCGCATTTGATTTGATCAAGCGCATTCAGCTAGTGTGTGTTCAACAAAACTAATGAGGTCAGAATCAATTTCAAAGACTTAAAGGACTAGTTATTTACCTCTAAATATTTTCCTATAGCTTGTAAAGAGTTATGCGTGCCTAAATAGGCTTTGCTGTTAATGCCTTGGTCAGTGTTTGAAGACAACTATTAAAAGATAACTTGTTGAAATATTTTGATGATAGTAGGAAAAGGTTGCTTAGGTATCCGTGCAGTACATATTAGTTGAATTGGGTTTTATTATTTATCAGTAAGAATTTTTTTCGATTTCAAACATCACTTACACAATTTGATGGAAATTTGAGTAAATGCTAAAATTTTCATTTATTGCCCCTGTATTCTATAAATACCGATAAAATCACAGCATAGTAAATACAAAAAAGTCAATAAATAATAAATAGATATGACTGAGTAATTGCAACAATATAGTTTCAAATAGTAGATACTATGATAACTTATTAAGCCTGAATAAAACATTCTATTAAATGACCACTTTTCCTAAAATGTTCAAATAACGAAATGCAGCTATTTAATTTATACTACTTATAATAGTAGTTCAAATAAATAACTGAAAATGTTATTTTTAGTAGAATTTCCATAAAATTTATTCATAACTGAAGAACATTTATTTGTTGATTTGTTTTTCAGTTGAATTTATTCGAATGTATCAAGCAAAGAAGGATCTCAATTCATGACATTTCAATGACTTCAAATGAATATATATATATATATATATATATATATATATATATATATATATATATATAATATCACCCTATAAAATGGTAGTTTTTGCAACGATCGTTTGCTACTTCAAATTAACATAAGTATCTCTCTAAAGGTACACACCTCCGACATTACACAGGATCTAGTTAATTAATGTAACATCATTTAGTTAGTTTGATCCAGTTTAGAAGGTTCAATCAAAAAAAATATATAAATGAATGAAGCTTCTCAAGAATAAACTAATCAGACAATTAACCATATGTTGTTTGTTCCATATAACACATTGTCATTTGGTAAACGTATATCCAATTACAATGATCTATAAATGAGTATTGCTCTAATACACGTTTGTTTAAATCATCGCTATGTCCGAATTGTTTTTATCGAGTTGCAATGTAGCGACGAACTTAGGTGACCCGGCAACGCATTTAACATGTTTCGAACTTACCTAGTTGAAGGTAGTCATCAGGAAACCTTAGGTCAAAAAGATTGTTAAACTAGGTTATCTCAGTTTGAATACACCAGATAGCATCTTTTTCCTGAAAGTTTAAGGTAAGTCTTGTTGTCAAGTATCAACTAGAATGAATTTCTGATCAAATAGAATTTTCTGCCTACTACTACTTCCTAGAACTATAACAATATTTGTAATTCCTTACACAGAGATAGGAAAGATTGCTATTAAATTATTTTTCCTTTAAACAAATTAAGAAATTAATTTGTAAATAGTTTTAATCAAATACAACATACAATTTCTCGTATATATTCACTTGAATTTCCATTTCCTGCTGTTAAATTTTGTAGGGAACCAGCAGCAGCTTCCAGTGTGTATGGATTTGAACTGTATTGTATTAAGTAAATCAATGTCCTGATTGAATCTACATCTCCATATGGTGAAGGAATATTATCGGATTTCGACTGATTAACTGATTTTGGCATTGATTCAGATTTTGCTGTAAAAGAATCCAAATTAAAATATTTTACCATTTAAATTATCTGTGTAAACTAAAACGAACTCAAAGTTGTTATGCCTTAGGGACCCACTAACTAATGTCATGAGCCAAACGACGAGTTCCTATTGGCTAGCTATTCGCCTGCTCTTCTCTATTCTTCAAAAGCTGCACGAATAGTTTAACAGATATTGGATGTATAGCATTATTTGTAAAAACCATATTTGAAATAATCTCAGCAACTGAAGTTTCAGATAACCCCAACTTTTCGTCCAGTAATCTTGTCTGAACTTCTTCAGGGTAATAATAATTAGAATTGAAATTACCAAAAAATATTTAACGTTTACACTAAGTGCTCATCCAATCATATTCAAATGCTGACTTTAGTAAGATAAAAAGTCACATGAAAAATCAATGAATGTGTGCTTGTGTACGTGTAATTTTATGTTACTATTAGCTGATATTCGGCGAATGAATGTCAAGCATTTGTTTATGAGTACAATTGTAAATGTCTTTAAAATGTCGAGTGTGTATGCAGATTGCGAATAATCAAACACACAGTTTTGGCGTCAAAATATTCAAATTAGTCTCCTTCCGAACAACAAAGTGCACAAAATTAGTGTCCGATTACATGTCAATGGTCATTTTTCAAGCGGTAGCTAGTCAGATACTATCTTTTATGTCTAGGTTATTCTGACAATTTTATGATTTAAGAAAATACGGAGACCTAAATAGTAAAATTATTCATTAAGATGATGGCTTGTGCAGTTAAATTAGTTCAGAGTTTAAGACGTTTGTTTTAATTGCTCAACAAATTTCATAAAACTGTAACACTAGTATTCAGTATCAATTCACACATAAGCAATATTACCAATGAAAAGACCGGAATGCATAGAAAATCAACACTTAGAAAAACATGTTTGTTATTTATGCTACTTATAAGTAGCAACATTTTATGTACGAAATTAAAACAGATTATACTAAGTGTGCAGCTATAAAAGGACAACTGTTGTGAAGATACGTTTTAACAGTTGTTAAACTTCGATTAGCATATAAATTACATTTCACATCCAGTAACTATTTCAAAACCATAATTAATACAAGAAATAACTTAGAATTTAATAATTACCTTCGACTTCTGTTGATCTCTTTGACTTTCTACCGCTTACAAGACTAGCTGATTTAATTCTTAACAGTGAACCATTACGTGGTTGTTTCTCTTGAGATTTACTATCTTGACTTGATGATGTTACAGAAGATTGTGATGATAATTGTTGTGTCTGTTGTCGTTGTTGTAAACCATAACATAAATTGCGAATTGTACAAACACAATGTTCTATTGATCTTTTATCACACAATTGATGTTCTACTGCATAACGTAATATACTGAAAAGGCTAGTTGCAAGTTGAGGACATTGACGCATTTGTTCACGAACATCATCATCTTCAGAACTGCTGATATTTCTTGAAATGTATGAGAGAAAAAATAAAAATAATACTTATTATCGGAATGAAAACAGAATTATAACAATGGATCAGTTAGCAAATTCATTTGAATATTTAGTGAATAATTGTTATACTGATTCATTAATCACAGTCTATAAAGTAAGTAAAAGAATGCTAATCTATCCCTATAGGTAACCATATTCAATATAAAGTAATTAAAGAAAGAATAATTAATGCATATATTCTTATTTACTTGGTCATATTGAAAGTAAGTAAATAGTCAAACATCCGCTGTACAAATATTGGTTGTTTAATACTATAATTATAATGTAAACAGCTGTATACACTTACCGAATCAATGATGTGACTATACGAAATAGAATACTATTAATAATTGACTGAGCTCCATTATCTTTTGATGCATAAATTGATGTTTCTGTTGCTGCTGGCACAATTATCACATTTAATAAACTTGGAATTAGTGCTTCTTGTAGAACACTTCGTTTTAACCAACTAACTGATGCTAGATTGCATAGAACAGAGGCAGCATTTTCTAAGATTGATTTAACAGCTTGATGTAAATCATCATATTCTGTGCCACCATTAGTTGTTAGTCTATAATAATTTAAATCTTTAAATGAATCAGTTGTTGTTCCATAGACTTGACGATTTTCAATTAACCAAGCCAATGCACGTATTCCACCGACACGTTCTAATTCTTTCTATATTTATTTTAACAAATGAAATAAAATTAAATCAACCAATCAGTGAATACAGCAAAATAATACAATTTTCTAAAAATTGTAGGAAAAGTTTGCAACCTAATTAGACAGATACACGTTTGTGCTGATGATGTTGTTCAGAAGAACAATGATAGCTCCACAATCAAAGCCTACAACTCAGAGAACGAAACTCTATCATTATCATCTACCTGAGCTACAAATTTTCTTCACCATCTTAGAATAATTTCTGTAAAATCTGTATTCTTTAAGCTAAATGCTATTTTTGTGAGGATTTCTCATAATAATATCATATTCAAATAGAAGCTATCCTTTTTACTTATTCCATATGCATTAAATTAGTCATTTCAAATTATTATAATTCTAATAAGCCTTTATAAGATTCCTTTTATCTCTAGTTGTCTCAACATTTTCCTTGACAATGGATAAGATTCCCCGAAGTACAGAATATTTGTTCGCCATTGCCAAAACCATACGGCATTCAAATTGATAACCATTTGTAATAAATGGAGACAGTTTCATAAATAGAAAAATAATCCACTTTTTTTAATGATACCTCTATCTATTTTCGTACCATATGTTATTCGATGAATATTCATTCAATTTCCATGTTTATTTAACAATAGAAACAAATTACAGCATACATAATTGTTTTTTTTTACTAACCAATTAATGGGTAATCATAAAAACTAGTGTCATATTACACGTATTACACGTAAAGTAAACATTTGATTTTTGAAGACAAAAAAACAGAAATACGTGTAAATGATTATTATTATCATTATTGTTATTATTATTATTGTTGTTGTTGTTTACAAATATTCTAAGGTGAATTTGTTAGTTTATCTTTCTAAGTTTAATCGTTATCTGCTTTAGTAATAGAAAAATAGACAAAACAAATAATGTTCCAGAAGTTAGGCGTTCGCGCACAATACCGAAGGTCCCGGGTTCGAATCCTGCCAGGTGCAGGAGTCGTGGATGCGCACTGCCACTGATGAGTCCCATACCAGGATGAAACGGCCGTCCAGTGCTTCCAGGTTTCTAATGATGGTCTAACAATGATTGATTGATGATTTCAAATGTGTAAAAAACACTCATCTCTATAACCCTAATTGAAAATAATGCGCAGTAGAATTTAGGAGACTTTAATGAAGTATTATGATTGAAATAGTGTGATAATAAAGAATATTGATGGTTTAGTCAGATGATTTTAGAGGTATTACATTCTTAGGCCTGACTGATTTAGTCGTAAGCCTTCATTGTCTTTCTTAGACAACATTATCAACTCTGAGCTGTAAAGCAAGGGGTTGTTGCTGTTGTTCGTAATCTATTCTGACAAGATAATTGAAAGAAATGATACAAAATAACAGTAATATAAATATGAACAATCAATCGTTCAACTGTAAGTCAACAGAACAAGATGTTAGTGAAGTGGGGAGAAATTCTAAGAACTCATTTTCTCATCAAGTCTATACAATTCAATCTTTCAGTTCACAGAATAGGATTTCTCCAAAAATATGGACATATATATACTTAGATAATCTATACGATGCAGTTAGTCATAGTTACATAGATTAAAAACTCTTCATTTATCATTTTTTTAAAAACATGTATTTTTAATAATTAATTATTCTGCTACCATTTTTAAATTGATTTCTAATTTTTAAATCTATTTTATTCTTAATTAATATTGCTATTTGAATAATAATGATTGTTAGACATTTTGGTTTATTATTTTGACCTTGAATTATTATTCAGTGATTAGATTATGAAAAATTAAAATTCTTTTAAATATAAGTAGATTAATTGAATAATCATGTAAGTAGTTGTTACACGAGGTTGATAGTGAAATTTTATTGTAATTTTATTCACTAATATTCTTCCCTTATTCAAATTTAATTGTTTCCAATTAGTTCACTGTATTGTATTGAATTATTTTGTACATAGAAATAAAATATACTAAATGCTTCTTATTTTTATTAAGTAGATAAACCTACTTACAAGTAGGTTTTTTGCATACTTTCTCGTTGTTAACTGCTGTAATTCATCATTGTTTGGCTGTGTTAGCATAAATGTGTGTATGTGTGTGTATGTATCAAAGAAAAAAATTGTCTCGATATTTTCATTTAGCTAGAAGCTTTAAAATTTTTGTATAACTCTGTTCGGTAATTTTCATATCGACCCATCAGTGTTAAGCCAAAATATCAAATAATATTTATTTATTATTGCTGAAGTTTGTAAAAATTGTCGAATCTTCAAACTTTACATCACGAACTAACCTCGTCGCAAACTGGAAAGCACTGTACAGTCGGTTCCTCATAATAATAAAATTCCCAAGTAGTGTACAACTTTAATCACACGATGGAACTTTAGTCTCGTTATAAGGACTGAAACTTCAGACAAATGAACCAGCAATCAATGACCTATCCCCCTCGCTTTAATCATTTCACGATATTGCTCTACCATCTCACTCATGGTAGGAAGCTGTTTGACACGTGTAGTCTATTAGTCACTAGAACTCCTATAGTTACTTCTTGTAGTAAACCACTAGTGAGCAATTTATTTGTGGATGTTGTCAGATTTTCACAGTTTATATGAGTCCGAATAACATCTGTCCAGTGTTTGTCTAGATGAGAACAATCGATGATGTATACAATATTTCTTCGTAAGGATTTGTATTTCCGTCATGCTGAGATTCAAGACTTCGATACAGTCAGTTTTTGTTCGTATATGAGACTACAGATACAAAGTGATTTTATATATCAAGTGGTGGCTGTTACTGTAAACATATGTTTAGAGTCAGGTGAATAAAATTGATAGATTTGATTTAGTATGAAATCCATGGCTTCCAACAAACGACAGTGGTTGTCAAAACACTTTTTCAACTTTATTTTTTTTCTTTCATTTCAGTATGATCTCTTCCACAGTGAACAACTTCCTGAAACTATAGTCATGGGAAATGGTTTTAAATCACTTTGTTAACAGAAGATTCAAGAATCGTGAGTTCAATTCCAACATATATATGAAGAGAACAAACCATTTATCTGTTGCTTCATACTTCATAATAATTTCTCATTATAAGTCAATATCGTTCAAACAGTTACTGGGACAAAAATTCAACACTTTTATCATTTTACAAAACTAGTTTTAAAGAAGCATACATCACATTTTTTAAAGTGACAACTTTTGTCATCCAACCACCAAGAACATTTCCTTTTTGTTAAATGCTCTAAAGCCTTACATTAATTGATTCATTGCATTATTTAGTTTAAGTAATTTTTCTTGTCAATTCATACCTCAAATTCACGTCATTCACTTATATCCTATTCAAAAATAGTATTCATAGCTTATTGTAGTACTTAACAATAATTCTTATCTCAAATCATATATTTCGTGAGACTTAATGAAGACATTATTTAAATGTTAAATACAATTTTCTCTTTTCTTACATTGTTCATTCATGAAAATAAAAAAGCTCTGACATTATGGCTTTATCGACATTGATTAAACAATATGAACCGAGAAAAAAATTTCATGAAACATTCTCATTATTATTTGACAATGTATTTTCTTCAGATAAAAAAACAAACAGTAAATGTTAACATCACTTATTATCCATTTCTTAGGACAAAATTCAACATTTGTTACTGTCTGGATTCATATTAACTTCACATTTCCAAAAGAAACAAATAATACTTGTATGTTTTTTGCCCCCTTCTTATTTAATCTTATTCTCTTTGTCTTTTTACTAACCAATAATCATGCTAATCAATTTCAATAAAAACTCATTGTCAATATGTATATATATTTCGTTAAAAAGAAATAGTTTTTTTTTCAATTGAAATAAAATATCCAGGAAAACACAACGAATCAGTAAATATCTATGTAAGTGTGTGCGCGCGCATGTGTCTATGCACATATCCAATTGATCAGTTTTCATTCAACAACAAACATTGTATTTAAAAAAAATTGTCAAATTTTTCAATCAGACAGTTGTTAATTTACTCGTAAAATATCTATCTACAATGTGATCAGTGTTAGATGATTAGACAATGAACATATGAAGCATTGTGGTTTTATCAAGCTGACCATCAATAAATCATATACAATATTCAATTTTTACATCACCATAGGTTATATGCGCTGAATGCATATATGGAGCCTGATTTTTTTGCCTACTATTCAATTAAAAATGTTAATTACTATCTGATGATATAAACCAAATAGATATAACCCTTTTTAACCAAGAAATGTTTTTTTTTATCCTACAAGACAATATGTTTCTGTTGATACAGTTCAGTGTAATCATATTTTTAAGAAAATATTTTCCAGATTTTAGCTTATCTTCACTATTTTTTTCATTCTGATAAGAGACAAGTGAAATGAGTGATCATTTTTTGTAAAAATTTCAAAATTCATCTTGATGATCTTTGATTAAGAAAAATAATCAACAAACTGTAAAATTGCATATTATTGAAATGATAAATTTTAATTTCTTGAAGAAAAATGAACAGTGAATAAATATAAGCTTGCAATATAAACACAAATAAAAGATCGATAATCTAACTAAAGATCACTCCAATTATTATTCCATGGGGAATATTCTTTTTCTAATATTTGTTCTGCAAAAATATAATGCTTTACACAATAATAATTACTTCTGAACGCATGATAGGGTTGTAGAGTTTGTTGAATTACTTTTTGAAATCATGAATCGATGAGTCTTATGCTAGGAGAAAACGGCCGTCCAGAGCGTCCAAGTTTCTAATGATTATCTAACATATAACCAGTCTATTTTTCGGAAAAAATTGCTTAGTTTCTTGAACTGACTGCTTATCTGCCAATCATATAAATGTCACTTGTTCAGATAAGCGTAAATCAGGCCAATGTCGCAAACAAACTAATCTTGGTAAATAGTGACAGTTGAATGTAAACAACAGAAAAGTATATACAGAAATAATATTTCAACAAATAATTTACTTTTATAGCTAATGTATCTCCACATGTCAGATTACGTAACACTCCGACTGCATTGAGACAAATACGTGTATGATCTGAGTAGAGTAATTGAACCAAAGTTGATATACCACCAGAAAGTCTGAAAAGAAATAGAAATTCACAGTGATATAAAATTGCAACTAAATTCTTGTTTTCTGACGAAAAACCTTTAAAAGATTTTCGCAGAAGATTCGTAAAAATTCAGGTATTCTTATAACGAGGTAAATATTAAAGATATTGGAACTTGCGAAACTATTTTATGGGTAATTATTAGTTGTATTTCCAGTGTGTGATTATTAGACAATCGGTTTTTTACATTTCTCTATGCCCTGTATTGAGTTTCCTTTGAACTCAACAACTATTTTTACGCGATTTACTACTACCTAATTAGTGTTAATCAGATACGTACCGTTTGCTCTCCTCTCTAGGCCTTATAGGATAATTGAATGTTAAGTATGATTCCATGTTTGGAGTGCACTGTGGTCTAATAATCCACGGATAAAAGCTAATGAAAGTTTGAAGTACATATATAGTAGGACAGTACTACCGTTCGCTATGTTCTACTATCGAACAGGACTCTGAGTTAGAAGAAGGTCATATGTTCTGGTCCAACAGAAATTAGAATTATACTCTACCTCAAATTCAAGGATCACCTCACAAGTTGAAGTGTGTAATTGATCGAGGCTTAGAAAGGCAACATTAGCCGGAACAATATACATCGGTGTAAAGAAATATAGTCAGGATTATTATTGGCTAATCACGTTATTCAATAATCTGCAGTCATAACAGATATCTTTAAACATTTGATTTTAGTACCAAAATGCATTAAATAGCGCACATTTCAGAAAGCAGCAGGTAAACAACCTCCCTCTCAAAGTGGTTTAAGTCTCTTCTAAACATTATACATATGCCTCCTAACTATCAAGGCGAGATGAATTACGCGATGTTCTGCTGTGAATCAATGAGCCATGTGACCAATAAAATCAGTGACACTAATTGAAAATCATGCTTGATTTAAAAGACTGAAATACATATCGCCCGACCACCATTCACTAGTATATCGTGCATGTACAAAAATATCAAGAACTTAGATTTAGTTCCCTGTTGGTGCGCGGTCTTGAACTTGAAAGAAACCATAGTTTAACTTCACTTGGCTTCTAGTATCTCTCTAGCACAAGTCAGTTTTCGCTATCAATTTCTTTTAATTGAAATCTATGACAAAACCAACATAAACAACTGCTTGATAAAATTATACCGAGAGATTTTTCAAGTCTTTCAATAAATCAAATGTTGTTTAAACCTAATGCTTGTTGTCTTGATGAAGAAAACACCATGAAACTACAGCACGATGGGTCCGCTTTAATGAAGTCCGATAAATTCATGTTGGTATTAGACTAGCATAATGAATTTTAAAAAAGTTTAAGACCAGAACAAATTACCTATTCAATGGCTGAATGTTTTTGACACTTAATTGACCAGCGTCAGTCAGAAATATAAGAAAAAGAACATCTTCATACGTGTTTCAAACAACTAAAAACAATTAAAATCACTTAATGGTAGCTCATTAATAGACTAGTTAAATAAGCATTCTATCAACCAGTAAATAAATAAAACATTATCTCAACAACAAACAGTTTTCACAGCATTCTGTGTAAAAAAGAAACAATGTACTTACCGTGTTTTCTCTTTTAAACTTGGATTACGATAAACTAAATGTTGTAAATAAGCAGCTGCATTTGATACAACATCTGGATCGGATGATTGAAGCAATCGAATCAACAATGGAATATCAACCGACTGTGAAAATGTTCCTGAATTCGGTTCAATGAAATCGGAATTTTTTGATGAATTAATAATATTTGGCATGGTAGGATATCGATTAATGGTAGATAACTTTAATTTGTTACCTGTGAAAAAAAAATTCATCGAAAGAGGATATCAACTCAATTTGGTTAAAACCTATTGATGAGTTAAGCTAATTAAATATAAAATCTTCATCTTAAAGTGACTAACCGACTGTTATTACTAGTCATAATTAAAAAAGTAGTTTATTAATTTTAATGAATTCCATCATCACGATCGTCAATCGTCTAGTGAATTCACATAGAATATCATTGTACTGAACAACATGATTTTCAAATCTCAGTCGAACACGCGAAACGAGACATTAAAAGTGTTCTCGATTGTTTTTTCTGTTCTATTGATTTAGTGTCACAGAATATACTGATGACCATTCAAAAAAAAAGTGATTGTCATTTGAATCAAAGAGTACTTTTGTTTATTTTCACAATAAATACAATAAATCACATCATATGTTGTCTTCTTTCAAAATGAATATGAAACATGGGATCTTTTCAAGCGCAATTCATAACTTAAATTGTCATAATCATAGTTAAAATGAGTAAAATAAAATATGTGAGAAGAGATTTAGGATGTGGGTTTTTTTATTTAAATATTTAAAAGTACTAACAAATCACTGAGAAAAATCCGGAGAAAAACATTTGAAAATAATAAATTTATTATCTGATTTCTTGTTAAAAATCAACGTTATTTTATAGACTGTAAAGTTAAATTGTGCTGGTTATCTTTAGGCGAAATCAATTGAATTATATCAATCATCATAAGAGAATATAACCTAACAGAGAGCCCAAGATGATTATGAGTATATTGTGCTAGCCATATATGATAGAAAAAAATAACTGAACTAGATAATTGGATATATTTGGGAATTTTTTTTTCATTTAAAACTCCAGGGAATTAATATTCGCATGTTAACAATTAGACTGTTGTATTTTTTTTTAGCTATTATTAAGCCAAAATAAATAGTTCATAATATTTATGTGTCTAACTAGTTCACAAAGCGAAACTTTCATTGTTTCACATTAATTTAAACAGATTTAAAAAAGTAGTGAGGTGTTTTTTTCTGTACCTATATAACACGGAAATGAAAATAATGAACTAAAATTTTATCATTTGATGCCATCAGATACTGCAAGACATGCTTTATGTTTTATTTCAAAAGTGTTAAGTAGTATACCTTATTGGATGATATTTACTGATAAAAAATACATCAATAATTCAATATTTTAAAAACTAACCACTAAGTCATAGCTAGTTAATATATGGAAGAAAGTTGTCTGGCCAAGTATAGATGACTATTCTACTATGATGAAAAGTAATTCTGTTGCTTTTAGTGAGAAAATACGTGGTTTTTGTATAATTTGATAGTAATCTTTATTACAAACTAAAGTCAGTTAATGAACCATCAAATATTAACAGGTAGGTGATTCATCCATCTACTGGATTCTACAGTAGTAAACAACAAAGTCTTAAAGTTCGATAAGTTAAGCGGGAACCAGTTACCCACCAATAAAACTGGATGAAAAACAGTGTCTTATTAGAAAATGGTAGAAACTAGCAGACACGAATCATGGGTGTTATCTACCACAGGCAGTGGATGAAGGGGTGTGCAAAATCATGAATCGATTGAAGTTAAACACATTGACACTGTTAGATGCCAACACACTGGCCCAGATTTTGGGCGATTGAGTGCAAGATCAAAGGTCCTAGTACAGGTTCGCGCATATGTTGTCATGAACGCGCGCTTTTGAGGAGTCCCATGCTAGGTCAAAACGTCTGTCCAGTGCTCCCAGGTCTTCTATGGTGGTTATCTTTACATTGGTTTGTTACTTCAGTCGTCAAAAGTTTACAGTCCCCACCAAACTGTATGAACTAACCTTTAGAATTATTTACCAACTGTCGATGAACAGGCATTGGTGTACGACGTAAACGTAAATCATCCGCACATGTTCCATTTGTTTGATCCATATATATTGGTTGATCATATCCTTTAGAATGTTGGTGATGTTGATGATGTTGATGATGATTATACAACTGATGTCGATTTCTTAGACGTGGCTTGATATCATCTGATTTATGATTATAATTATGAATGTGTGAATTCCAACCGTTTGTATCCATTGAACATTTCATTTTATTTTCATTTACATTATCTAATTTTGTATCATTTGAATTGATTCTATTCCCAAAATCATTTTGTTTATTCCATAGTCTAATAAATAATAAAATGATAATTTTAATATTATAGTTATATAATGATATAACATGCATGTTAGTATTAGACTACTTTTTTTCTGAGAAACTCATGCAGTCTTTAAACTAGCCATTATTGTCTAAGCTTATATATATACATGTAGATACAATAATCTAATTTGCTATCAGTTATTAATTATAATGTTAAAGTACAGTAATGCGAAACACAACCCATTTTGCGTAAGCTGACCTTTTTTGATATATATATATATATATAAAGTTTATTCATAGAATGTATACGTCTAAGTTAATCTATCTTTTGACAGTAAACTAACTTCCTAAGCAAAATGTAATGATTGAGTAATGGAATAACTATCTCTTTCAATAGTATTATACTTCAACTACTCATTCTTATACTATTAAAGTTTTGATTGAGAAATTTATATTTTATGAAGTTGAAACTGTTTAATAAACAGTAAGTAGATATACCTAAATTATAGGAAAAGTCTTTGTATTAAGTTTTGTATTAAGAAATTCAACTCTAAAGTGTTAATCAGTGAAAATATCGATAGTGTCTATTGTCGTAGAGATGTAAATTATTATAGGATGAAAAAAAACTAGTCTATACACTCAATCTAACTACCAATCATTCTTGGTTTATGATTAACACTTTTGTACTGGTTTCTTTTTTCACAATAATTAAAGTTACAACAAACGGATAACCTGTTAATAAACTGATATTTTTGAATCACTTCATTATAACTAATGCACATATTGTAAGCTTGTTGTACAAAACATTTTCAATAAACCCATAGTTTTATGCACAATGCTTTCATTCATACAAGTTTTGATCATTCATTTAGGTTTAAGCCGACATACTGAAGTAATCAATTAAAACAAATTATACGTCTAATTATTTCATTGAGACTTTACAGTCGAATATATTAATTAAGGAACTTTATAATTTACGTAAAATTTTAGGAATAAGACAGTAAGTTACGTCAACAGGTTTACATGCAAGCATGCGTGCATGCTAAAACTACGATTTTACATAAGGTGCCTAAAATTCATCTTTTCCTCCTGTTAACGTTTAGTGGATTAAAACAAAGGCACGATAACTCACAACAGAACACAAAAACTGGATTAACCGTAATACTTAGGGTTGAAAATATTTTGTAGTCATAATAAATATGAAGAAAAATTTTTTTTACGAAAACGCATGTACATATTGGCATAATACTGACATTTTGTTAAACAGCAAGAGGTCTGACATTTCAAACTAAATATAAAATCTAAAAAAAAATTGTCTAAATTATTTCTACAAATCGAAACTATATCTGTCTGGCATAAAATTTTCAATTGAAATTAAATACAAGTACATATAATACTTTTTGATGGGATGTTTTTGTGTTTTTGCAGTTCTTACATGGTAGAACATCGATTATAATGACAATTCTTTGACAATGGATTTTAATCTAAATGAATTTCATTTTTCTATCCTATGAATATAGTTGTGAGTTTCTGCCTAAACAAATGACAGAATAAATAATTTCTTCTGAGTACATGTAACGATGACTAATGAAAACCCCTGTATTCTGGAACAGATAAACGTGATCAAGGCATGAAAAAATAACAGTTTTTAGAATCACTGAACATTTATTTGATTCGATAAAGTTATGAAGACTTTAAGCCGTAATAGTTCAAGTATTTGTAATTAACAATTGGAAAATTAAAGAGAGATATAAGATAATAAAAGTTGATCAGAAGTGTTTATCTCCATATTCGTCTTCTTTTAAACTTTCATATTGTTTTTTTTCCATCGATTTCTCATAGATACAAAATTGTTATAACTATGAATTGACTAAAACATACTCATATATAGTACTAAATGGATCCTCACTAATTTGATAACTGTAAACAAAAAGTTCCACCGATTAGTTAAGGACTTGAGAGTACAATAAAAAAACCTGTGTTGACGTCATGACATGTTAAAAGCACGTTTCATTTCTCACTAGTGGGTTAATGCAAATTAAGAGGATACTTTCAGATTTCATTGATTATTTATCAAAGCTAAAGGTTTGACCGACACATGTTTAAATATCAAGCTATATATTGTAGTCATTATGGCTTCATAAATAAATGCCAAACATGAATTACCTTTAAATTTACAACCCAACAACTTTAACTTAGCTTATCTGCGTTCTTTGAGAACTGTAAAGAATTGTATCTACTAAGGAATACCCTTCAATAACAGTCAAATGTTATTTTTTTGAAATCGAAAACGTAAATTATAAGTGCTTGATTGGCGTTTCATAAACGATTTATGCCTCAAAGATGGAATACTATCCCATGGTTTACATGACGAAGGGATCTTAGTTGAACAAGCGATGAAAACTAGGAGGAAGTGATTATTTGTTAAGTCTAAATTGAAATTTATCAGTTGACTAATCTGATCTGGTATCTTTCATCAGGATCATTTGATGTCTAGTTTATAGAGCATAAAGAAACACTATTTGTTTGATATTGTTCAAGACAAAATTAAATGTTAGCTGATCATTTAGAATAACCATTAACAATAAACCTTTTTTTTCGAATTTGTAACACAGTGTTATCTATAACCCGTGACTGGCATTCGACATACTGTCTTTATTTCAAAAAACACAAACGCAAATTATCATACACAGTTTGAATACAAAAAATTACCTCATGCAACAATATTCTTTCATGCTATTTCATGCATGATATGGTGCAGTTTTTTATTTGTGATTTCTAACTTACAACTTATTCAATCTTTGACTTAATCGACTTCCTTCAGTATTTAATTCATATGAAGAGGATTGTGATGATGAATTTTGTTGATCAATTAATGATATCGCTCTATGTGATTTATCTCTTAATGTACAATAATTCATATTTGTTAAAAGTTCTTCCATTGAACATTTACTATAATGCTTTTTATTTAATAATTTATCATCTATTGATTTATCAAAATTTTGTTCTTGTATACAACTTTGTGTCATACGATTATCCGGTAAACTAACACCATGTAAATGAATATCAATAACTAAATTTAATGAACTTGAATTTGATGTTGTTCTATGAATTTTTGGAAGATTTTTTATCTCTGTATCAGTTGTAGAATTACTTAGAACACTAGTTGTATTCGGTCTAGTTGATTTATCAATTATTGTCAATCGATTTGATTCATGAGAATTCTCTGTGTCGATTGTGATTTCATTATTGATTTTATCTGGTACATTATCATCGTATATTGTATAAGATGGCATAAATATAGGCATACTACGCTGTCGCCCATGAAATACTGGAATATCAATGGTATTATTACTATTATTATTAGTAGTAGTATTAGTAGTAGTAGTAGTAGCAGTAATAGTGTTCTGTAAATTCTTTTTCATTCCTATGTTATTAGTTTGTTGAGATATATTATTTGATGAATTTCGTATGAATTGCATTTCACTGCCTGATGTATTCACTGGTTCACATGTGTTTGTTAGACATTCAGTATTTAAATCAGTTCTTAAATTTCTATGAGAATAATTTAATTGTGAATCATTCTGTACTCTATGATTATAACATAAATCAGTAGAATTTTTATATTTTTCAACTAAATTTGGTGGTGGAGTTGTTGGTGTAAACTCTACCGGTGGATAATAACGATAAGATGAATGAAGTGAATTATTCATTGTACTGAAATAAAAAATTATAAAATATTTCCTGTAAATTAACGAAAAAATATGCCATCCTCATTAGTCTTTTTAATGTATGTAATCTGATATAGATTTCATAATTTTATAATGATTAGTTATTAATAGTCACTACTTATGATTAAACTGTATCAGTGTATAATTTATTATGCCTTTATGTATTCCAATTTATATTTGTCATTTTCGAGAAGATTAATGATACTTGTCTTGCTTTGTTGTCTACATTGCAGTTGTTTTTCTATAGATAGCTTCATTCGGCATATCATGACAGTCGAATTAGTCAGCGAGCCGACAAACATCATTCATTATGGTTCAAAGGAGACAAAAAAATTACACTTGATAGGTAGTTGCATTTTGTTGCATTTGGTTGATAGTTGTGATAACATGTCAGACAAGACTAAAACAGTTACGTTCATCTAATGTTTTCTTCAACATTATCTCAATGAGTTCAAACTTGGCACTTATACAAATAGGACGTTGTACGTAATAGAGTTAGGGAAGAGTCAATAAATGGCCATATCAGCTCCTAATTTTTCCCCTCTTCTACAGACCTATTATACTAATTTTGTATTTAGACTTCATTTATATACTTTGAACGGTCCTACATTAAATAAGTTGTGAGGTTTCTAAAGACTTGTAACCACAAATACTTAATAACAGTTAAACCATAACAACAAATAGAATTTAAAATGTTCAGATATTATATTAACCAATGTTGAAGTATCCTAAGAAGCTTGTAACTCGGAACAGTAACATTTAACAACAAAATTCAAATTTTCGATATGCATAAAAGTATTTTAGTACATTGTAAACGATTATAAGATAAACATTAAATAAAATCTAATCTTAATCTATTGAAAAATTATTAAAAATCAAAAAGCACTTAACAGAATATTTTATACAATTATCATTAAATAATCATTTTCTTTGATGTAAAAGTACATACACCGACAATGGCCTACTTTCATCATAGATGTGTATTCGATGTAAACAGTAAAATTGTTTCCAATTAGTAATGTAAAATACTTATCTAAACTAACTCAGTCATTCAATATATATATATATATATATATATATATATATATATATACTTAAAGAAAATGTAATCGAAGATAATAGTATCTAGTCCAGAGAAAAATAGTGTATATTATTATTAATTTACTAAATAAGATTTTGATGTATATATATATATATATATATATATATATATATATATATAATATCTGATCCGTATTTTGATCATTTTATTCTTATTTTTATTGATTATTTGCTACACAAGGAGATATAAATGTAGAATAAGTAATATGATCAATGTAATTTTCATTTATTTTTTTAAGAAAAACTAACTTTATTTGGTAGAAATAATCATACACAGGAAGCAACTAATGTTTGTTTTAATACAATAAAGGATTTGCCAGTAATACTAACTTAGAAATTCTACAAAAGAATGAGATTTAAACCTGCAGCATGATCAATGTCAAATCTATATTTTGTTCAATGAGATGAAATACCACAAACCATCTTTACAATATCCTAAAGCATATCATAATTGCTTTTACACAGGTGCATTGGACTAAGAAATCTATTCATTGAACACAAATGAATGAATCAATATGACAGAGAATTTATGGTAATGTCTTTTCGTGGTTAAATTGGGCAGTAATTACACAATGCCCATGTATTATTTATATAAATCAACTGTGTTGCACAATATATTGATTTAAATTCAACACAAAATCAATAAACATGATGAAACCACTGAACAACACAATTTACAGGTGTCTTTTGTTTCACAATCATTCAAATATGACCTATTTACCTTTTATGAAATAATAAACTATCCATAATGGTATATGTTACTCATTTTTATATGCATACAGAATGATATATACATACATTTATAAAGAGTAAGCCTGTATCTAATTCATAAACTACAGAAAAAAATGTAATTTTTTTCTGCATTTCACGAAAAATGTTACCAACACTATTCAAAAACAAATAAAACCAATCAATGTGTAACACAACTGTTTTTTTTTTGTTAGTTTACTTGATTAAGGAATTTCTATTAGCTATCAAAGAAAAAAAATAGCGAATAAAGTTTTATTATTCAATGTTTACTTTCAATTGACTTGATTGAATCAGACTGGTTTTTCAACAAGAACAACAACAACATATGTTTATGAATATTACATTCAAAATTAAATGTAAAACTGAGTGCCTACTAATTTCTAGATATTCACTAGTTAATATCTAAGTTCAAACAAAAGTCATCTTTACATTAAATCAGGCTTCATCTTATTTTGCAATAGTTTATAATAAATTATGTTTAGTGTAACTTTTACTCTTCTAGTATCACTATCAGTGTGTTAGGCTAATTAGCATATGATTTTTGGTTGATTATAGATTAATGAGACGTGATGTGTGCTAGAAAGTCATTGATCTCACAGTAGTATAAACTTCTTAGTAAAAAGCAACCATAGTGAATTCATAGTTGAAGATTGAAAATCCTGTTAAACTATGATATGCTTTAAAGTTTTTATTTGCTAATTCTTTAAAATTAGCAAATAGAAACTTTAAAGCATATCATAGTTTAACAGGATTTTCAATCTTCAACTATGAATTCACTATGCTTGCTTTTTACTAAGAAGTTTATACTACTATGAGATCAACTGACTTCCTAGCACACATCACGTCTCATTAGTCTATAATCAACCAAAAATCATACGCTAATTAGCCTAACACACTGATACTGATACTAGAAGAGTAAAAATTACACTAAACATCATTTATTATAAACCATTGCAAAATAAGATTAAGTCTGATTTAATGTAAAGATGACTTTTGTTTGAACTTTGATATTAACTAGTGAATAACTAGAAATTAGTAGGCACTCAGTTTTACATTTAATTTTCAATGTAATATTCACAAACATATTTTGTTGTTGTTGTTGTTGAAAAACCAGTCTGATTCAATCAAGTCAATTGAAAGTAAACATTGAATAATAAAACTTTATTCGCTATTTTTTTCTTTGATAGCTAATAGAAATTCCTTAATAAAGTAAACTAACAAAAACAAAACAGTTGTGTAACATATTCATTGGTTTTATTTGTTTTTGAATAGTGTTGGTAACATTTTTCGTGAAAAGCAAAAAAAAATTACATTTTTTTTCATAATTTATGAATTAGATACAGGCTTACTCTTTATAAATGTATGTATATATCATTCTGTATGCATATAAAAATGAGTAACATATACCATTATGGATAGTTTATTATTTCATAAAAGGTAAATAGGTCATATTTGAATGATTGTGAAACAAAAGACACCTGTAAATTGTGTTGTTCAGTGGTTTCATCATGTTTATTGATTTTGTGTTGAATTTAAATCAATATATTGTGCATCACAGTTGATTTATATAAATAATACATGGGCATTGTGTAATTACTGCCCAATTTAACAACAAAAAGACATCACCATAAATTCTCTGTCATATTGATTCATTCATTTGTGTTCAATGAATAGATTTCTTAGTCCAATGCACCTGTGTAAATGCAATTATGATATGCTTTAGGATATTGTAAAGATGGTTTGTGGTATTTCATCTCATTGAACAAAATATAGATTGGACATTGATCATGCTGAAAGTTTAAATCGTATTCTTTTGTGGAATTTCTAAGTTAGTATTACTGACAAATCCTTTATTGTATTAAAACAAACATTAGTTGCTTCCTGTGTATGATTATTTCTACCAAATAAAGTTAGTTTTTCCCTAAAAATAAATAAAAATTACATTGATCATATTACTTATTCTACATTTATATCTCCTTGTATAGCAAATAATCAATAAAAATAAGAATAAAATGATCAAAATACGGATCAGATATTATATATATGTGCACATCAAAATCTTATTTAGTAAATTAATAATAATATCTGGACTAGATACTATTATCTTCGATTACATTTTCTTTAAGTATATATATATTTATATATTGAATGACTGAGTTAGTTTAGATAAGTATTTTACATTATTAATTTGAAACAATTTTACTGTTTACATCGAATACACATCTATGATGAAACTAGGCCATTGTCGGTGTATGTACTTTTACATCAAAGAAAATGATTATTTAATGATAATTGTATAAAATATTTTGTTAAGTACTTTTTGATTTTTAATCATTTTTCAATAGAATAAAATTAAGTTTTATTTAATGTTTATCTCATAATCTTTTACAATGTACTAAAATACTTTTATACATACCGAAAATTTGAATTTTGTTGTTAAATGTTACTGTTCCGAATTACAAGCTTCTTAGGATACTTCAACATTGGTTAATACAATATCTGAACATTTTAAATTCTATTTGTTGTTATGGTTTAACTGTTATTGAATATTTGTGGTTACAAGTCTTTAGAAACTTCACAACTCATTTAATGTATGACCGTTCAAAGTATATAAATGAAGTCTAAATACAAAATTAGTATAAGAGGTCTGTAGAAGAGGGGAAAAATTAGGAGCTGATATGGCCATTTACTGACTCTTCCCTAACTCTATTACGTACAACGTCCTATTTGTATAAGTGCCAAGTTTGAACTCATTGAGATAATGTTGAAGAAAACATTAGATGAACGTAACTGTTTTAGTCTTGTCTGACATGTTATCACCACTATCAACCAAATGCAACAAAATGCAACTACCTATCAAGTGTAATTTTTTTTGTCTCCTTTGAACCATAATGAATGTTGTTTGTCGGCTCGCTGACTAATTCGACTGTCATGATATACCGAATGAAGCTATCTATAGAAAAACAACTGCAATGTAGACAACAAAGCAAGACAAGTATCATTAATCTTCTCGAAAATGACAAATGTAAATTGGAATACATAAAGGCATAATAAATTATACACTGATACAGTTTAATCATAAGTAATGACTATTAATAACCAATCATTATGAAATTATAAAATCTGTATCAGATTACATACATTAAATGACTAATAAGGATGGCATATTTTTTCGTTAATTTACACGAAATATTTTATCATTTTTTATTTCAGTACAATGAATAATTCACTCCATTCATCTTATCGTTATTATCCACCGGTAGAGTTTACACCGACAACTCCACCACCAAATTTAGTTGAAAAATATAAAAATTCTACTGATTTATGTTATAATCATAGAGTACAGAATGATTCACAATTAAATTATTCTCATAGAAATTTAAGAACTGATTTAAATACTGAATGTCTAACAAACACATGTGAACCAGTGAATACATCAGGCAGTGAAATGCAATTCATACGAAATTCATCAAATAATATATCTCAACAAACTAATAACATAGGAATGAAAAAGAATTTACAGAACAATACTACTGCTACTACTACTACTAATAATAATAGTAATAATACCATTGATATTCCAGTATTTCATGGGCGACAGCGTAGTATGCCTATATTTATGCCATCTTATACAATATACGATGATAATGTACCAGATAAAATCAATAATGAAATCACAATCGACACAGAGAATTCTCATGAATCAAATCGATTGACAATAATTGATAAATCAACTAGACCGAATACAACTAGTGTTCTAAGTAATTCTACAACTGATACAGAGATAAAAAATCTTCCAAAAATTCATAGAACAACATCAAATTCAAGTTCATTAAATTTAGTTATTGATATTCATTTACATGGTGTTAGTTTACCAGATAATCGCATGACACAAAGTTGTATACAAGAACAAAATTTTGATAAATCAATAGATGATAAATTATTAAATAAAAAGCATTATAGTAAATGTTCAATGGAAGAACTTTTAACAAATATGAATTATTGTACATTAAGAGATAAATCGCATAGAGCTATTTCATTAATTGATCAACAAAATTCATCATCACAATCCTCTTCATATGAATTAAATACTGAAGGAAGTCGATTAAGTCAAAGATTGAATAAGTTGTAAGTTAGAAATCACAAATAAAAAAACTGCACCATATCATGCATGAAATAGCATGAAAGAATATTGTTGCATGAGGTAATTTTTTGCATTCAAAAGGTGTATGATAATTTGCGTTTGTGTTTTTTGAAATAAAGACAGTATGTAGAATGCCAGTCACGGGTTATAGATAACACTGTGTTACAAATTCGAAAAAAATGTTTATTGTTAATGGTTATTCTAAACGATCAGCTAACATTTAATTTTGTGTTGAACAATATCAAACAAATAGTGTTTCTTTATGCTTTATAAACTAGACATCAAATACTCCTGATGAAAGATACCAGATCAGATTAGTCAACTGATAAATTTTAATTCAAACTAAACAAATGTTCAGTTCCTCCTAGTTTTCAGCAGCTGTTCAACTGAGATCCCTTCGCCATGTAAACCATGGGTTAGTTTTCAATCTTTAAGGCGAAAATCGTTTGTGAAACGACAATTACGCACTTATAATTTGCGTTTTCGATTTCAAAAAAATAACATTTGACTGTTATTGAAGGGTATTCCTTAGTAGATACAATTCTTTACAGTTCTCAAAGAACGCAGATAAGCTAATTTAAAGTTGTTGGGTTGTAAATTTAAAGGTAATTCATGTTTGGCATTTATTTATGAAGCCATAATGACTACAATATATAGCTTGATATTTAAACATGTGTCGGTCAAACCTTTAGCTTTGATAAATAATCAATGAAATCTGAAAGTATCCTCTTAATTTGCATGAACCCACTAGTGAGAAATGAAACGTGCTTTTAACGTTTCATGATGTCAACACAGGTTTTTTTTATTGTACTCTCAAGTCCTTAAATGATCGGTGGAACTTTTTGTTTACAGTTATCAAATTAGTGAGGATCCATTTAGTACTATATATGAGTATATTTTAGTCAATTCATAGTTATAACAATTTTGTATCTATGAGAAATCGATGAAAAAAAAACAATATGAAAGTTTAAAAGAAGACGAATATGGAGATAAACACTTCTGATCAACTTTTATTATCTTATATCTCTCTCTAATTTTCCAATTGTTAATTACAAATACTTGAACTATTACAACTTAAAGTCTTCATAACTTTATCGAATCAAATAAATGTTCAGTGATTCTAAAAACTGTTATTTTTTCATGCCTTGATCACGTTTAGCTGTTTCAGAATACAGGGGTTTTCATTAGTCATCGTTACAAGTACTCGGAAGAAATTATTTATTCTGTCATTTGTTTAGGCAGAAACTCACAACTATATGCATAGGATAGAAAAATGAAATTCATTTAGATTAAAATCCATTGTCAAAGAATTGTCATTATAATCGATGTTCCACCATGTAAGAACTGCAAAAACATAAAAACATCCCATCAAAAAGTATTATATGTACTTGTATTTAATTTCAATTAAAAATTTTATGCCAGACAGATATAGTTTCGATTTGTAGAAATAATTTAGACAATTTTTTTTTAGATTTTATATTTAGTTTGAAATGTCAGACCTCTTGCTGTTTAACAAAATGTCAGTATTATGCCAATATGTACATGCGTTTTCGTAAAAAAAAATTTTTCTTCATATTTATTATGACTACAAAATATTTTCAACCCTAAGTATTACGGTTAATCCAGCTTTTGTGTTCTGTTGTGAGTTATCGTGCCTTTGTTTTAATCCACTAAACGTTAACAGGAGGGAAAGATGAATTTTAGGCACCTTATGTAAAATCGTAGTTTTAGCATGCACGCATGCTTGCATGTAAACCTGTTGACGTAAATTACTGTCTTATTCTTAATATTTTACGTAAATTATAAAGTTTCTTAATTAATATATTCGATGGTAAAGTTAAAGTCTCAATGAAATAATTAGACGTATAATTTGTTTTAATTGATTACTTCAGTATGTTGGCTTAAACCTAAATGAATGATCAAAACTTGTATGCATGAAAGCATTGTGCATAAAACTATGGGTTTATTGAAAATGTTTTATACAACAAGCGTACAATATGTGCATTAGTTATAATGAAGCGATTCAAAAATATCAGTTTATTAACAGGTTATCCGTTTGTTGTAACTTTAATTATTGTGAAAAAAGAAACCAGTACAAAAGTGTTAATCATAAACCAAGAATGATTGGTAGTTAGATTGAGTGTACAGACTAGTTTTTTTTCATCCTATAATAATTTGCATCTCTACGACAATAGGCACTATCGATATTTTCACTGATTAACACTTTAGAGTTGAATTTCTTAATACAAAGACTTTTCCTATAATTTAGGTATATCTAACTACTGTTTATCAAACAGTTTCAACTTCATAAAGTATAAAATTCTCAGTCAAGATTTTAGTAGTATAAGAATGAGTATTTGGAGTATAATACTTTTGAAAGAGATAGTTATTCCATTACTCAGTCATTACATTTTGCTTAGGAAGTTAGTTTACTGTCAAAAGATAGATTAACTTGGAATGATACATCTTATAAATAAACTTAAATATATATATATATATATATATATATATATATATATATATATATATATATATACATCAAAAAAGGTCAGCTTACGCAAAATGGGTTGTGTTTCGCATTATTTTACTTTAACATTATAACTAATAACTGATCACCAATCAGATTATTGTATCTACATGTTTATATAAGCTTAGACAATAATGGCTAGGTTGAAGACTGCATGAGTTTCTCAGGAAAAAAAGTAGTCTAATACTAACATGCATCTTATATCATTATATAACTATAATATTAAAATTATCATTTTGTTATTTATTAGACTATGGAATAAACAAAATGATTTTGCGAATAGAATCAATTCAACTGATACAAAATTAGATAATGTAAATGAAAATAAAATGAAATGTTCAATGGATACAAACGGTTGGAATTCACACATTCATAATTATAATCATAAATCAGATGACATCAAGCCACGTCTAAGAAATCGACATCAGTTGTATAATCATCATCAACATCATCAACATCACCAACATTCTAAAGGATATGATCAACCAATATATATGGATCAAACAAATGGAACATGTACGGATGATTTACGTTTACGTCGTACACCAATGCCTGTTCATCGACAGTTGGTAAATAATTCTAAAGGTTAGTTCATACAGTTTGGTGGGGACTGTGAAATTTTGACGACTGAACTAACAAACCAATGTAAAGATAACCACCATAGAAGACCTTGGAGCACTGGACAGACGTTTCGACCTAGCATGGGACTCCTCAAAAGTGCGCGTTCATGACAACATATGCGCGAACCTGTACTAGGACTTTTGATCTTGCACTCAATCGCCCAAAATCTGGGTCAGTGTGTTGGCATCTAACAGTGTTAATGTTTAACTTCAAGCGATTCATGATTTTTCACACCCCCTTCATCCACTGTCTGTGGTGGATAACACCCATGATTCGTGTCTGTTAGTTTCTACCATTTTCTAATAAGACACTGTTTTTCATCCAGTTTTATTGGTGGGTAACTGGTTCCCGCTTAACTTATCGAACTTTAAGACTTTGTTGTTCACTACTGAAGAATCCAGTAGATGGATGAATCACCTACCTGTTAATTTTTGATGGTTCATTAACTGACTTTAGTTTGTAATCAAGATTACTATCAAATTATACAAAAAACCACGTATTTTCTCACTAAAAGCAACAGAATTACTTTTCATCATAGTAGAATAGTCATCTATACTTGGCCAGAGAACTTTCTTCCATATATTAACTAGCTATGACTTAGTGGTTAGTTTTTAAAATATTGAATTATTGATGTATTTTTTATCAGTAAATATCATTCAATAAGGTTTACTACTTAACACTTTTGAAATAAAATATAAAGCATGTCTTGCAGTATCTGATGGCATCAAATGATAAAATTTTAGTTAAATATTTTCATTTCCGTGTTAAATAGGTATAGAAAAAAACACCTCACTACTTTTTTAAATCTGTTTAAATTAATGTGAAACAATGAAAGTTTCGCTTTGTGAACTAGTTAGACACATAAATATTATGAACTATTTATTTTGGCTTAATAATAGCTAAAAAAAAATACAACAGTCTAATTGTTAACATGCGAAAATTAATTCCCTGGAGTTTTAAATGAAAAAAATTCCCAAATATATCCAATTATCTAGTTCAGTTATTTTTTTCTATCATATATGGCTAACACAATATACTCATTATCGACTTTGGTTTCTGTTAGGTTATATTCTCTTATGATGATTGATATAATTCAATTGATTTCGCCTAAAGATAACCAGCACAATTTAACTTTACAGTTTATAAAATAACTTTGATTTTTAACAAGAAATCAGATAGTGAATTTATCATTTCCAAATGTTTTTCTCAGCTATACAATTCTCAGTGATTTGTTAGTACTTTTAAATATTTAAATAAAAAAAAACCCACATCCTAAATCTCTTCTCACATATTTTATTTTACTCATTTTAACTATGATTATGACAATTTAAGTTATGAATTGCGCTTGAAAAGATCCCATGTTTCATATTCATTTTGAAAGAAGACAACATATGATGTGATTTATTGTATTTATTGTGAAAATAAACAAAAGTACTCTTTGATTCAAATGACAATCACTTTTTTTTTGAATGGTCATCAGTATATTCTGTTACAATAAATCAATAAACCGGAAAAAAAGAATGGAAAATGCTTTGAATATCTCATTTCGCGTGTTCGATTGAGATTTGGAAATCATGTTGTTTAGTACACTAATATTCTATGTGAAATCACCAGATTATTGATGATGATGATGACGGTTGTATGAATAATGGAATTTAGTGCTTCCAGGTTTTTAACGGTGGTCTAACATTGATCGATTCATAGTTTCAATAAAACTTAACAATCTTCACAACCCCGTAATACATATTACCTGTGCTCACTAGTGACTAGCTTCGTGAGGAATCTTCTCCGAGTTCTAGTGGGAAGACGTGACCAGTGAAGTTCAACCAGTTCAGGTGTGGACTGTAACTACCGAAGATTGTGTATGAGGTTGCGCAAGTTAGACATTAACACCGTTAGATACTGTCTCATTGGTCACGGAGTTAGGCGTTCTCGCGCAAGACCGAAGGTCCTTGGTTCGAATCCTGTCAAGTGCATGAGTCGTGGACGCGCACTGCTGAGGAGTCCCACACCAGGACGAAACGGCCGTCCAGTAATTCCAGGTTTCTAATGGTGGTCTAACAATGATCGATTCATGGTTTCAAAAATGAGTAACTTAACAATCTTCACAACCCGGTACTTTTTAATTATGACTAGTAATAACAATTGGCAAGTCACTTTAAGATTAAGATTTTATATTTCATTAACTTAACTCATCAATAGGTTTTAATCAAATTGACTTTATATCCTTTTTCAATCAATTTTTTCCACAGGTAACAATTTAAAGTTATCTAGTATCAATCGTTATCCTACAATGCCAAATATTATTAATTCATCAAAAAATTCCGATTTTATTGAATCGAATTCAGGAACATTTTCACAGTCGGTTGATATTCCATTGTTGATTCGCTTGCTTCAATCATCCGATCCAGATGTTGTATCCAATGCAGCTGCTTATTTACAACATTTAGTTTATCGTAATCCAAGTTTAAAAGAGAAAACACGGTAAGTATAGTGTTTTCTTTTCACATAGAATGCTGTCAAAACCGTTTACTTTTGAGACAATATTTTATAAATTTACTGCTTGATAGAATGCTTATTTAATTAGTGTGTTAATTAGTTACCATTAAGTTATGCTAATAGATTTTAGTTGTTTAAAGCACGTATGGAAATGTTCTTTTTTATATTTCTGACTGATATTGGTCAATAAAGTGACAAAAATATTCAGTCATTGAACAGGTAATTTATTCTAGTCTTAAACTCCTTTTTAATTCATTGTACTACTCTAATACTAACATGGAATTATCGAACTTGATTAAAGTGAACTAATTCTGCTGTAGTTTCATGGTGTTTTCTTCATCAAGACAACAAGCGTTAGGTGTAAATGACTTTTGATTTATTGAAAGACCTGAAAAATCTCTCGGTATAATTTTATCAAGCAGTTGTTTATGTTGGTTTTGTTACAGATTCCAATTAAAAGAAATTGATAACGAAAACTGACTTGTGCTGGAGAGATACTAGAAACCAAATAAATTTAAACTAGCGTTTCTTTCAAGTTCAACACCGCGCACCAACAAGGAATTAAATCTAAGTTCTTGAGATTTTTTTTGCAAGTACAATATACTAGTGAATGGTGGTTGGGAGATATCTATTTCAGTCCTTTAAAATCAAGCATAATTTTCAAATAGTGTCACTGATTTTATTGGTTCAGACAAGAACGTCGCGTAATTCATCTCGCCTTGATAGTTAGGAAGCATATGTTTAATGTTAACAAGAGACTTAAACCACTTCGAGAGGGAAGTTGTTCACCTCCTGCTTTCTGAAATATGCTCGATTTAATGCATTTTAGTACTACAATAAAATGTTTAAAGATATCTGTTGTGACTGTAAATTATTTAATAACGTGATTAGCCACTAAAAATTCTGATTATATTTATTCACACCGATGTATATTGTTCCGGCTAATGTTGCCTTTCTAAGCCTCGATCAATTACACACTTCAACTTGTGAGGTGATCCTTGAATTTGAGGTAGAGTATAATTCTAATTTCTATTGGACCAGAACATATGACCTTCTTCTAGCTCAAAGTCCTGTTCGATAGTAGAACATAGCAAACGGTATTACTGTTGTACTGTATATGTACTTAAAACATTCATCAGCTTATATCCATGGATTATTGGAACATAGTGCACTCCGAGCAGGAGATCATACTTAGCATTCATTTATCCCATAAGGCCTACAGCGGAGAGCAGACGGTACATATCTGATTAACATTAATTAGGCAGCAGTAAATCGCATAAAAATAGTTGATGACTTCAAAGGGAATTCATAATACAGGGTACAAAGAAATATAAAAATCCGACTATTTTATAATTCTATAATGAAAATACAACTAATAATTGTTCACAAAATAGTTTCACAAGTTCAAGTATCTTTAACATTCACCCCATTATAAGAATACATGATTTTTTCATAATTCTTATCTTTGGCGAAATATTTTGAAGGTTTTTTTTTATAAAACAAGCATTTGGTTGCAATTTACGTCATTGTAAATTTCTGTTTCACTTCAGACTTTCTGGCGGTATATCAGCTTTAGTTCAATTACTCTACTCAGATCATACACGTATTTGTCTCAATGCAGTTGGCGTGTTACGTAATCTGACATGTGGAGATACATTAGCTATAAAAGTAAATTATTTGTTGAAATATTATTTCTATAAACACCTTTTCTGTTGTTTATATTCAACTGTAATTATTTACTATGGTTTCCCATAGCACAAAATTAGTTTGTTTGCATCATTGGCTTGATTTACGCTCATTTGAACAAATGACATTTATATGACTGATAGATAAGCAGTCATTTCAAGAAATCAAGTGATTTTTTTCGCAAAATAGACTAAATATATGTTAGACGATCATTAGAAACCTGGAAGCTCTGGACGGCCGTTTCCTACGAGTATAAGACTCGTCGATTCATGATTTCAAAACGTAACTCAACAAACTCGACAACCTTATCACGCGAATAATCATGTGTTCACTGATGACTTGCTCCGTGAGGAAGTTTCTCCGTGTTCTGTTGAGAACTCATGACCAGTGGAGTTCATCCCTGTTCGGGTGTGAAGCAGTGCTCACAGAAGACAGTGTATGCGGTTGCACAAGACTGTGGATTGATCAGAGTTAGACATTAACACCGTTATATATCGGCTCAATGGTCTAGAGTTTGGACGTTCGAGCGCAAGAGTGAAGATCCTGGGTTAGAATCCCAAGAGTTTCAGGAGTGGTGAATACGCACTACTGATGAGTCTCACACCAGGGCTAAACGGCCATCATTGCTTTCAGGTCTCTAATGGTGGTCTAATAATCATCTATTCATGATTTCATAAAGTAACTCAACAATTTCCACAACTCTATCATTTACAGTAAACTATATTTTCAGTTATCTTTAAGAGTAAAGCAATTATTAATGTGTAAAGCATTATATTTTTGCAGAACAAATATTAGAAGAGAATATTCTGCATTGAATAATAATTTGAGTGATCTTTAGTTAGATTATCGATCTTTTGTTTGTGTTTTATTTGCAAGCTTATGTTTATTCCCTGTTCATTTTTCTTCAAGAAATTAAAATTTATCATTTCAATAATATGCAATTTTACAGTTTGTTGATTGTTTTTCTTAATCAAAGATCATCCAGATGAATTTTGAAATTTTTACAAAAAATGATCACTCGTTTCACTTGTCTCTTATCAGAATGAAAAAAAATAGTGGAGATAAGCTAAAATCTGCAAGATATTTTCTTAAAAATATGATTACACTGAACTGTATCAATAGAAACATATTGTCTTGTAGGATAAAAAAAAACCTTTCTTGGTTAAAAAGGGTCCTATCTATTTGGTTTATATCATCAGATAGTAATTAACATTTTTAATTGAATAGTAGGCAAAAAAAATCAGGCTCCATATATGCATTCAGCGCATATAACCTATGGTGATGTAAAAATTTGATATTGTATATGATTTATTGATGGTCAGCTTGATAAAACCACAATGCTTCATATGTTCATTGTCTAATCATCTAACACTGATCACATTGTAGATAGATATTTTACGAGTAAATTAACAACTGTCTGATAGAAAAATTTGACAATTTTTTTTAAATACAATGTTTGTTGTTGAATGAAAACTGATCAATTGGATATGTGCATAGACACATGCGCGCGCACACACACACACCTACACTTACATAGATATTTACTGATTCGTTGTGTTTTCCTGGATATTTTATTTCAATGGAAAAAAAACTATTTCTTTTAAACGAAATGTATATATATAAATATATATAGTGACAATGAGTTTTTATTGAAATTGATTAGCATGATTATTGGTTAGTAAAAAGACAAAGAGAATAAGATTAAATAAGAAGGGGGCAAAAAAACATACAAGTATTATTTGTTTCTTTTGGAAATGTGAAGTTAATATGAATCCAGACAGTAACAAATGTTGAATTTTGTCCTAAGAAATGGATAATAAGTGATGTTAACATTTACTGTTTGTTTTTTTTCTGAAGAAAATACATTGTCAAATAATAATGAGAATGTTTCATGAAATTTTTTTTCGGTTCATTTCGTTTAATCAATGTCGATAAAGCCATAATGTCAGATTTTTTTTATTTTCATGAATGAACGATGTAAGAAAAGAGAAAATTGTATTTAACATTTAAATAATGTCTTCATTAAGTCTCACGAAATATATGATTCGAGATAAGAATTCTTCTTAAATATTACAATAAGCTATGAATACTATTTTTGAATAGGATATAAGTGAATGATATGAATTTGAGGTATGAATTGACTGGAAAAATTACTTAAACTAAATAATGCAATGAATCAATTTATGTAAGGCTTTAGAGCATTTATGACAAGAAATGTTCTTGGTGGTTGGATGACAAAAGTTGTCACTTTAAAAAATGTGATGTATGCTTCTTTAAAATTAGTTTTGGAAAAAGATAAAGGTGTTGAATTTTTATCCCAGTAACTGTTTGAACGATATTGACTTATAATGAGAAACTATTATGAAGTATGAAGCAACAGATAAATGGTTTGTTCTCTTCATATTTTCATATTTTAACCTTCCTTAAATATACCAATTTTATTCACCTGAATCAACACATGTTTACAGTAACAGCCACTACTTAATGTATAAAATCATTTTGTAACTATAGTCTCATATACGAACAAAAACTGATTGATTCCGAAGTCTTGAATTTCAGCCGTATGGAAATACAAACCCTTACGAAGCAATTTTCTATATTTCATGAATTATTCTTATCTAGGCAAACACTGGACAACTGTTATTCAGACTCATATAAACTGTGAAAATCCAGCAACATCCACAAATAAATTGTTCACTAGTGGTTTACTGCAAGAAATAACTATAGGAGTTGTAGTGACTAATAGAATTCATGTGTCAAACAGCTTCCTACCATGAGTGAAATGGTAGAGCAATATCGTGAAATGATTAAAGTGAGGGGTATAGGTCATTGATTGCTGGTTCATTTGTCTGAAGTTTTAGTCCTTATAACGAGACTAAAGTTACATCTTGTGATTAAAGTTGTACACTAATTGGGAATTTTATTATTATGAGGAACCAACTGTACAGTGCTTTCCAGTTTGCGACGAGGTAAGTTCGTGATGTAAACTTTGAAGATTCGACAATTTTTACAAATTTCAGCAATAATAAGGAAATATTATTTGATATTTAGGCTTAACAATGATGGGTTGATATGAAAATTACCGAACAGAATTATACAAAAATTTTAAAGCTTCTAGCTAAATGAAAATATCGAGACAATTTTTTCTTTTATACATACACACACATTTATGCTAACACAGAAAAACAATGATGAATTACAGCAGTTAACAACAAGAAAGTATGCAAAATACCTACTTGTAAGTAGGTTTATCTACTTGATAAAAATAAGAAGCATTTAGTATATTTTATTTCTATGTACAAAATAATTCAATACAATGCAGTGAACTAATTGGAAACAATTAAATTTGAATAAGGGAAGAATATTAGTGAATAAAATTACAATAAAATTACACTATCAACTTCATGTAACAGCTACTTACATGATTATTCAATTAATCTACTTATATTTAAAAGAATTTTAATTTTTCATAATCTAATCACTAAATAATAATTCAAGGTCAAAATAATAAACCAAAATGTCTAACAATTATTATTATTCAAATAGCAATATTAATTAAGAATAAAATAGATTTAAAAATTAGAAATCAATTTAAAAATGGTAGCAGAATAATTAATTATTAAAAATACATGTTTTAAAAAAAATGATAAATGAAAAGTTTGTAATCTATGTAACTATGACTAACTGCATCATATGGATTATCTAAGTATATATGTGTCCATATTTTTGGAGAAATCCTATTCTGTGAACTGAAAGATTGAATTGTGCCGTTTGCATTGTCTACCTATCTACATAATGTAATCAATATAGACTTGATGAGAATTTCTCCCCACTTCACTAGCATCTTGTTCTGTTGACTTACAGTTGAACGATTGATTGTTCATATTTATATTACTGTTATTTTGTATCATTTCTTTCAATTATCTTGTCAGAATAGATTACGAACAACAGCAACAACCCCTTGCTTTACATCTCAGTTTTGATAATGTTGTCTAAGAAAGACAATGAAGGCTTACGAGTAAAAAAAACAGGCAGGCCTAAGAATGTAATACCTCTAAAATCATCTGACTAAACCATCAATATTCTTTATTATCACACTATTTCAATCATAATACCTGGAGGCACTGGATGGCCGTTTCATCCTGGTATGGGACTCATCAGTGACAGTGCGCATCCACGACTCCTGCACTTGGCAGGATTCGAACCCAGGACCTTCGGTCTTGTGCGCGAACGCCTAACTTCTGGAACATTATTTGTTTTGTCTTGTTTTGTTTTGCAGATAATGATTAAACTTAGAAAGATAAACTAACAAATTCACCTTAGAATATTTGTAAACAACAACAATAATAATAACAATAATGATAATAATAATCATTTACACGTATTTCTGTTTTTTGTCTTCAAAAATCAAATGTTTACTTTACGTGTAATATGACACTAGTTTTTTATGATTACCCATTAATTGGTTAGTAAAAAAAAACAATTATGTATGCTGTAATTTGTTTCTGTTGTTAAATAAACATGGACATTGAATGAATATTCATTGAATAACATATGGTACGAAAATAGATAGAGGTATCATTAAAAAAAAGTGGATTATTTTTCTATTTATGAAACTGTCTCCATTTATTACTAATGGTTATCAATTTGAATGCCATTCGGTTTTGGCAATGGCGAACAAATATTCTGTACTTCGGAGAATCTTATCCATTGTCAAGGAAAATGTTGAGACAACTAGAGGTAAAGGCTTATTAGAAATATAATAATTTGAAATGACTAATTTAATGCATATGGAATAAGTAAAAAGGATAGCTTCTATTTGATTACATGTTAATTATGTTGTTTAGAATGACAAGGAATTCCTCACAAAAATAGCATTTAGCTTACAGAACACAGATTTTACAAAGTCATCCTAAGATGGTGAAAAAAAATTTGTAACTCAGATGGATTATTGTGGTAGTGTTTAGTTCTCTGAGCTGGATGTCTTGATTGTGGAGCTATCATTGTTCTTCTGAACAATATCATCAGCACAAACGTGTATCTGTCTAATTAGGTTGCAAACTGTTTCTATAATTTTTAGAAAATTGTATTATTTTGCTGTATTCACTGATTGGTTGATTTAATTTTATTTCATTTGTTAAAATAATATAGAAAGAATTAGAACGTGTCGGTGGAATACGTGCATTGGCTTGGTTAATTGAAAATCGTCAAGTCTATGGAACAACAACTGATTCATTTAAAGATTTAAATTATTATAGACTAACAACTAATGGTGGCACAGAATATGATGATTTACATCAAGCTGTTAAATCCATCTTAGAAAATGCTGCCTCCGTTCTATGCAATCTAGCATCAGTTAGTTGGTTAAAACGAAGTGTTCTACAAGAAGCGTTAATTCCAAGTTTATTAAATGTGATAATTGTGCCAGCAGCAACAGAAACATCAATTTATGCATCAAAAGATAATGGAGCTCAGTCAATTATTAATAGTATTCTATTTCGTATAGTCACATCATTGATTCGGTAAGTGTATACAGCTGTTTACATTATAATCATAGTATTAAACAACCAATATTTGTACAGCGGATGTTTGACTATTTACTTACTTTCAATATGACCAAGTAAATAAGAATATATGCATTAATTATTCTTTCTTTAATTACTTTATATTGAATATAGTTACCTATAGGGATAGATTAGCATTCTTTTTCTTACTTTATAGACTGTGATTAATGAATCAGTATAACAATTATTCACTAAATATTCAAATGAATTTTCTAACTGATCCATTGTATAATTCTGTTTTCATTCCAATAATAAGTATTATTTTTATTTTTTTTCTCATACATTTCAAGCAATATCAGCAGTTCTGAAGATGATGATGTTCGTGAACAAATGCGTCAATGTCCTCAGCTGGCAACAAGCCTTTTCAGTATATTACGTTATGCAGTAGAACATCAATTGTGTGATAAAAGATCAATAGAACATTGTGTTTGTACAATTCGCAATTTATGTTATGGTTTACAACAACGACAACAGACACAACAATTATCATCACAATCTTCTGTAACATCGTCAAGTCAAGATAGTAAATCTCAAGAGAAACAACCACGCAATGGTTCGCTGTTAAGAATTAAATCAGCTAGTCTTGTAAGCGGTAGAAAGTCAAAGAGATCAACAGAAGTCGAAGGTAATTTATAAATTCTAAGTTATCTCTTGTATTAATTATGGTTTTGAAATAGTTACTGGATGTGAAATGTAATTTATATGGTAATCGAAGTATAACAACTGTTAAAACGTATCTTCACAACAGTTGTCCTTTTATAGCTGCACACTTAGTATAATCTGTTTTAATTTCGTACATAAAATGTTGCTACTTATAAGTAGCATAAATAACAAACATGTTTTTCTAAGTGTTGATTTTCTATGCATTCCGGTCTTTCCATTGGTATTATTGCTTATGTGTGAATTGATACTGTTACAGTGTTACAGTTTTCTGAAATTTGTTGAACAGTTCAGACAAACGTCTTAAACTCCTAACTGATTTAACTGCACAAGCCATCATGTTAATGAATAATTGCACTATTTAGATCTCCATATATTCTTAAATCACAAAATTGTCAGAATAACCTAGACATAAAAGATAGCATCTAACTAGCTACCGCTTGAAAAAATGAACGTTCACATGTAATCGGACACTAATTTTGTGCACTTTGTTGTTCGGGCAGAGACTAATTTGAATATTTTGATGTCACAACTGTATGTTTGATAATTCGCAATTTGCATACACACACTCGACATTTTAAAGACATTTAAAATTGTACTCATAAACAAATGCTTGACATTCATTCGCCGAATATCAGCTATTATTAACATAACATTACACGTACACAAGCACACATTCATTGATTTTTCACATGACTCTTGTTATCTGACTAAAGTCAGCATCTGAATATGACTGGATGAGCACTTAGTGTAAACGTTAAATATTTTTTGGTAATTTTAATTCTATTTATTATTACCCTGAAGAAGTTCAGACAAGATTACTGGACGAAAAGTTGGGATTATCTAGAACTTCAATTGCTGAGATTATTTCAAATTTAGTTCTTACAAATAATGCACTCTTCATGCTCTACGCCCAATATCTGTTAAACTGTTCGTGCAGCTTTTGAAGAATAGAGAAGAGCAGGCGAATAGCTAGCCAATAGGAACTCGTCGTTTGGCTCATGACATTAGTTAGTGGGTCCCTAAGGCATAACAACTTTGAGTTCGTTTTAGTTTACACAGATAATTTAAATGGTAAAATATTTTAATTTGGATTCTTTTACAGCAAAATCTGAATCACTGCCAAAATCGGTTAATCACTCAAAATCCGATAATATTCCTTCACCATATGGAGATGTAGATTCAATCAGGACGTTGATTTACTTAATACAATACAGTTCAAATCCATACACACTGGAAGCTGCTGCTGGTTCCCTACAAAATTTAACAGCAGGAAATGGAAATTCAAGTGAATATATACGAGAAATTGTATGTTGTATTTGATTAAAACTATTTACAAATTAATTTCTTAATTTGTTTGATGGAAAAATAATTTGAAAGGAATCTTTTTTATCCCTGAGTAAGGAATAACAAAACTTGTCATAGTTCTAGGACTGATGTTACATAATTAGAAGTGGTTAGCAGAAAATTCTGTTTGATCAAAATTTCGTTTTGGTTGCTACTTGCCAACAAGAATTACCTAAACCTTTAAGGGAACAGATGCTATCTGTTGCATTCAAACTGAGATAACCTAGTTTAACAGTCTTTTTGACCTAAGGCTTCCTGATGACTACCTTCAACTAGGTAACATCGAAACATGTTAAATGCGTTGCCGGGTCACCTAAGTTCGTCGCTACATTGCAACTCGATAAACACAATTCGGACATAGTGAAGAATTCACCAAACATGACTTAAAGCAACACTCATTTATAGATCATTGTAATCGGATATATGTTTACCAAAATGTCATGAATTGAGATCCTTCTTTACTTGATACAATCGAATAATTTCAACTGAAAAACAAATAAACAAATAAATATTCTTCAGTTATGAATAAATTTAATGAAAATACTATTAAAATGGCATTTTCAGTTATTTATTTGAACTACTATTATAAGTAGTATAAATTAAATAGCTGCATTTTGTTGATTGAGCATTTTAGGAAAAGTGGTCATTTAGTAGAATGTTTTTATTCAGGCTCAATAAGTTATCATAGCATATACTATTTGAAGCTACATTTTTTCAATCACTCAGTCTTATCTATTTATTATTTATTGACTTTTTTGTATTTACTATGCTGTGATTTTATCGGTATTTATAGAATTCACGGCAATAAATGAAAATTTCAGCATTTACTCATATTTCCCTCAAATTCTGTAAGTGATGTTTGAAATCGAAAAACAAGTTCTTACTGATAAATAATAAAACCCAATTCGACCTATATGTACTGCGCGGTTACCTAAGCAACCTTTTGCTAGTATCATCAAAATATTTCAACAAGTTATCTCTTACCAGCATTTCCCAATTAGGCTCGCTTAACTCTTTACAAGCTATGGGAAAATATTTAGAGGTATATAACTAGTCCTTTAAGTCTTTGAAATGGATTCTGACCTCATTAGTTTTAATGAACACACACTAGCTGAGTGCGCTTGATCAAGCATCCACACCAAATCATGATTCTATACGCCATGCTATGCTTCCTTTGAAACAGCTAGTCAGTTTAGATTATATATTTCTGGACATTACGACTATCATTCAAATATACTTCCGAAATCCTTAATTTTGGACTTATGCTTTGACTGAGTTTTGGATCCTCGAATATAAAGACATTAAGGGTAACAGTACTGTTAAACTCAGAATATCAGTGATATCTGGAGGTCAGAAAGGGATGAATTTTGATCATGTTACATTTACTGAACTGTTAACCTTTAAATATCGATCACTGATTGACAGGATAGACTATCTCCAAGTCTCATTAGGCCTAAAGATGTATTATACCTGTTGTGTAACCAGAATTCAGGAATCCTTGTTAAATAATTTACACAACGATTGTTCAGGTAGAACTATGAAGTTTCAATATTTAAAAAACGGTATGTAGGCAGTCTAGCTAGTGCCATTCCAATTATGTATATTTCAAGTTTCCAAAGGATGCCATGTCCGAATCACTTAACAAGTACAATTACGCCTCCAACTTAACATGTCTCTGAACTGTACTTCATTTGCACTATATGTTTTTGTTAATAAATTCATGGAATTTGTTACTCCTATCTACATTGGTGTACTTTCCATTATATGTAGTTTACTTCATTCATGTAGTTGTAACTTTCTTTAATCACTGGATCGACAAAAAGTGATAGATATTACTTCTCGTTTGGATCCATATCTAGACTTAATTTCTCTTAATGATGTAGGAATACATACAACAAAATTTTGCAAACTCCATAGCAAGTTCTCTTTTATTTTCGTACCATTTACTCAGTTGACATAGTCGTGGCTACTAGACTTCGAAAATATCTTTTCCATAGTTAGAAAGGTTTTCAAGTATATTTAAAAATTTTTTCTAATATTTTCACATAATATAACGTCAGAGATTATCCACTATGTCATCGAATTCATTACATACACAAGTGAGACGAAATATAAATTTGGTATTTTTCCAATGAAATCGACTATTATGGAAATATTCAGAATCATAAATTAAAACATAATCTCAGTAATAATAATAATAATAATAATAATAATAATAATAATAACGATAATTATTATTATGATTAATTTCCACGGAAATGAGCATTATTAAAATTTCTGTGAAATTGTTTATTTCACTTATTTACTATTTTAAAAATTTGACACACCACAGAAATTCCGAAAAATTTAACATTCATTCAATTCATTCATATCACTATTTTTTCTTTACAAACAAAAAAATTATATAAAAATGATAATTATTTAATTTCCTCTTGTTCGTAATTTGGTTTTTGTTGACCTTATTTCAATAAGCAATGAATATTTTCAATTGAAATAATAATCACAGGAATTACTTAAATTATGATGAACATTAATTTAACAAGTACATTGATATTTAACCTAGTTTTAAATGAATCATTGATTATTTTCTTGTTATTATTATTATTATTCCGTTGATAATAATAATTTTAATAAAATGTTAATCGATAATAAATAAACTCATTGCAATGTTATAGAAACTATAGATGGATTATGAGCCACATGTTTCATTCTGTTTAGAACTTATCAGCGAGATGTAACTGAATCACAGTGTCGATGTTCACACTGGAATTCGAATGAAGTACCTTTTGTGAAAGTTTTGAAGCATAAAATTATCGCCTTTTGGTTATTTACTGATGATGAACTCACTACAAAAAAGTTAAAAGTTCTTGGGTTTGATCCAATCTGTCAAACTATCAATAAATAAACCTAAGAAATCTGAAAATACTAGATTAAACTATCTATTCAATACTAGTTACTTTTCAGTGATATCAATTGATGAAATGTGAATCATCGCCAAAATGCCTTTGTTTTTATTGCTAAAACATTCATTCATTGATCCTCCTTGAATACATTTTTCAAAAATTTGAACACAACTTGTAGAAAATAATAATAATGTTATTTCGTTAATTTTGTTTTATTCAAATAAATTAGTATGTGATTGTATGAAAAAAAAGTGAATTTATTATAATTAGGGTCTAGAAATGTAAATTTTCATGTTTCAGCAATAAAACAATGAATGAAATAAATCAATATAAAAGACAAGTGTTTGAACAAACTCTTGAATAGATCAAATGAATGATAAATGAAGAGAAAATGTATGCAGTCATGTTAAGAAAAATAATCTATTGATCATAATTTAAAAGGTTGAAGTTAGACAGACATTAAAACAACTGCGGCTATTTTACTGTTCTTCTTCTGATAATAAATATTAAGAAGTTTGACTACCAATATTTAGGATAAAAATTGCTATTTGAGAGTTATGGAAAATGTCTTAAACATGTTTAGGTACACAACTTTTTGTATGAGTTTTACATTAAAAGATTTAAAAAGTTCTACATCAAGAGATGATATGAAAAATTGTTTAAACAATACAATAGGGATGGAAATAGTTAAAATTTACACTATAGTTATTACAATGTTACACAAGTCTAAATGTATCGAATTGCTTTATCTTTTTCTATGGTAATCACTGTAACCAACTAATTAGTTAGGTGGAGATATTTAACAGAAAACGCTGGAATTAGGTTTTTATTTAAATGGTTATTCATTAGTAGTAGAATTTTCAATCAGTTGATAAGAGCCAAAAATATAGTGCATGTGACTTACAAATTAAATTAAACTGTTAATTGCATTTGTGCAATAGTATTTACCAAACAATGATAAGTCATTTGTATTACAGGGTTGTGAAGATTGTTAAGTTTTTTTGAAACCATGGATCGATCAATGTTAGACCACCAATAGAAACCTGGAAGCACTGGTCTAACATTAATCGATTCATGGTTTCAAAAAAACTTAACAATCTTCACAACCCCTTAATACAAATTACCTGTGCTCACTAGTGACTACATCCGCGAGGATTCTTCTCCGAGTTCTAGTGGGAAGACGTGACCAGTGAAGTTCAACCTGTTCGGGTGTAGACAGTAACTACCGAAGACTGTGTATGAGGTTGCGCAACTCCGTGAATTGATCAATTTGGACATTAACACCGTCAGATACCGGCTCAGTGGTCCGATGGTTAGGCATTCGCGCACAATACCGCAGGTCCTGGGTACGAATCCTGCGGGGTGCAGGAGTCGTGGATGCGCACTGCTGATGACTCGCATACCAGGACGAAACGGCCGTCCAGTGCTTCCAGGTTTCTAATGGTGGCTTCATGGTTTCCATAAAATGATAAGTCAATGAAAAAATTTATGACATTCATGAATTTTTTGTTGATCACTTTTATAGTTTATGCAAAAGAGTGTTGCAAAAGTAATAGCTAATCTTAAATACAACAGATTATTACAAAACATTTACTCTATACAATATTACACTTTCATATGCAGCCTATGATTATTTAGGACATAATTTCACCATGTATTTTCAGTAGCTATAAATGGTTGAATGATTCCTTAAGAAATAATCAATTAGCGTTCTTTTGTTTACCGTAGATCAATATGATATTGGAAATTACACTGGATAACTTAAGATCAAAAATGTTTTTTCTTTTATAATCTTAAATTACTGATAAAATGTAAGTGATGTATTATCTGTGAAAAACTTTATGTATTTTGAGAAATGGATTATGGAATCCCAAGGGATGATTTATAATTTTCTCTTATAGTACTAATATCTACTTTGTAAAATTTTTTATACTCATCAACATTTATTATAATTATATAGACAGACCATACACGTGAGAACTGGATATCAATCAGAGTAGTTTGGGGGGAATATCTTGGGTGTAGTTCCACACAGTATTGAGTAATATGTTTAAATGATTATTTAATTATCATGATAATAAATTTATTAGCATATGACATGTTATGCATGAAATTAATTTTTCTTATTCTAAATACTTTATAGATTCGTTTAAATCATGGACTACCATTACTTGTTGAATTATTAACTAATCCAATGCATAATGTTGTTGCTACAGCAGCTAATGCTTTACGTAATTCTGCATTGGATTCAACTAGTTGTTATCTAATTGGCAAATATGCATTAAATCGTATTATACATGCATTAGATCAACATTCATGTGGTATTGTATTCAATCTACACTCGAATCATTGTAAACAAACACAAATGAACAAATTCATTAATACCATGCATCATCATTATAATAATAATCATATTAATAATAATAATAATAATCATAATCATTCTAATTGTAATTCTGAATGGCAATTACCACTGTACACATCAAATTCATTGGCGAATAAATCAATGTGTTTAACAAATCATGAATCAGTGGTACACTATGAACATGATGATGTTGATGATGAGTTGGCTAATATGCAAAAACAATGTACCACCGGTCTGTTGAGTTTATGTTGTGTGATAATAAATAAAAAATTGGAGAATGCTAGGTAAGATGATGATTTGATTAAGCTTTATTTTTGATTAAAATAAAAAAAAATCTTATTCATAATTCTATATTACAAAAGCTGTAATTTACATAAATTATGTAAGTGGTAACGAATTTTAGATTACCGCTGAAAACGTCATTAGATAAAGTCTGTTTTAAAGCATAAAACAAACCAGTGGAGTATTCAGTACCTTGGTTATATTTGTAATGAAGTGTATTTTTCATTGTTGTAGATATTTAAGATTTCAATTAATTAGTTTTAGTTGATCTATGTTCATGCTGAATGGGTATTATCATTTAGTCATAAGGTTTAATTAATTTTGGATACTGACTAGCTGTAGACTTCAAGAAGAGCATTTTATCCAATATACAACTCGTCAACTGTATGTAACTTAGTGTAAGTTCATGAAGTTGATGATCATTTGAATGAGCCAATATAGAGAGATGCCAACTACTTACTTGTTTGAGGTCAACATGATTATTGTAATCAACTGTTAGAGACTTCGAGTTATATGATTCAAAATAATTCCCCCCCCCCCCGAATTTTGAGTCTTGAAATCCTTGTACACTTTTTTTTTATGACTACTTCTACTTCTCTGAAACTTGTTTTGATAATTTTATCTCAGTTTGATAAATTGAAGCAATCCAGGTTCTACTTTACATACAACTGACCAATTCACTATTGCAGTTTGATTACAAAATAATTCAAGCTGATATTTTGTCTAAGATAATAAGTAATGTATCTAAAAACTAAATAATTTTATTCTGTTAGTTGTTATGAAAATATACAATCTAACTAATATTCTATTTCACAATAACTGAAAGCTAATCTATTTATCCAAACAAACCATTTAATTTAACTAATAACTCTGATGCTTAGATGCTGCTCACAATACCTTCATGTCTACCATATAGTTTCATTATCAGATCAATATTTTCATAGCTTTTTATCTGTTATGAAGTTATCATTTAATGAATACTTAACAATATTATCTAATGTAC